GGGGGGGGGGGGGGGGGAGCGTCGTTGCGCGACGTGATGAATTCGATTCGGCCGCGCCGGGAGACACGCGATACGCAATTTATTACCACGCTGATTTGCTTCGCGTTTCCCCGGACTTCCCGGACTGATGTAATTTTCGTGTTTCATTACACGGAGCCGGAGGGGCCCCGAGAACGCGCGAAATAAGATCACCGTCCGTCTCCGTCGCGGCGGCTTCGAGGTGTTCGAGCGCGCGAGGAGCTTCCGTGTTACGTAAAATGGACTTTCGGTCGCGCGAGAACGTGCGACCGAGCTTCCCGTACGGCTTGTAGCTCCGTTTTAGCTTCGGGTGAATTTTCGGCTGCGGCCCGTATTTCGGCCGCAGTGCTGCACCTGCCGGCCGGCGATCATATCTCGCGCATTCAGAGCCCCGGCGCGATGATGTCATCGTGCGAAAAGAATCGTGCGCGAAAGTTCGACATTGACAACGAGATAGAGAGAATTTTGATGGTCTCTCGAGAATGGCGGGACAAGGTGGGCGAGCTCGCCGCGAAGCTAGTTTATTATCAAGGATATTCGATGCAGAAAGAAAAAAAAGAACCTGAAATACGAGACGCGGCCTTAACGCGCATCGCAAGATCGTGGTGGATTAGTGGAAGCTCCGAGCTAATAGCGAGTAGGTCACGGAGAAGAAAACTGGGTAAACGCATAATCAATTTCGAATTCATCATCCCGCGCGCGAATCATTCCGAGAATTCGATTCAGCGAAGAGAGAGAGAGAGAGAGACGTGCTGTCATCTCCGAGAAAATAGATCGTCTCGACGCGCCGGCCATCGAAATTACCACGCTTTCCTTCCGAAAGGACGATGACAGCATGCGAGTTCCTCGTAGATGACATCAACGTTGAAATTACTTCTCATGACTTATTCACGGTGCACAACCGGTAGCTGACGATCGTGCAACCTGTGCTATTTCCATTTGCTATATAATAACAATAACGACAGCCGTTCCGCGTCCCGACGGTGAACATTGAAAATCGTACGAAGATATAAGACGGAAGTCGCGAGAGTGGCGTCGGCAACGGGCCCGTTCGAAAATGATAACGAGCGGCGCAGCCCGACTATTCTTACATCCCGCGATGTCGAATAAATAATCGCGTCGGTGAAGCGCGCATAGCGGCGGCTCTTTCTTACGGCAGCTACCTCGCTCTCTTACAGCATCGTCGTCATCATCATCATCCTCGTAGTATGCGCGATCGCGCGCCCGCGAGTGTGAATAGTCCGTTGAAACGCTACATACTTCCTCCGTCTACTTTTAGCCAAGGCTGGCCCGACTTCGCCTGGGTCCGGGCCAAGCCGTGACGCTCTGCCGAAGCACAGCGACACGTATTTCCGATTCTAAATCCGTCTCACCTCTCGCCGCGGCTCACGATCGCGTTTGAGGCTACCGATTGCTCCGTGAGATTCTTTTTCACGGGGAGTTGCGCACACGACTTCACCTCCTGCCGGCCTCCTCCTCGTGGCGGACGCCATTATCCGTCGTCACACTTATTCGGAAGGTCACGCATGCCGCGTGCAATTTCACGGTCGAACGATCGACGTCGTTTTCCACCTCTTTCCAACGTTTCACCCAGTTTTCTTTGCCACTCGCACTCTTCGAGTATAATTGATGCCACATGTGCGTTCGACCTTTTTTCCCGTAAAGAGGGGAATTAACAAGCGATGCTTCAGTTTCAATGGCGTCTCATAATTGAGTCGACTGTGTCCTTTCAATCTTCCCTTGAACGTTGAAATATATGCGCGATACGCGGTCAACGTAGATTTAAAGGTCGCAGCGCTTTCTTCGAGGAAGTTTCGCAACGCATCTCGTATCCGATGCACGGAAAAGAAGAACGCTGGATTCGAGTAAATCATTGCCCCGACATTCGTCAGCAAATGTTTACTTGGATTAAATAAATCTTACTCGGATCAAGTAGATGTATATCTTACTTAGGTAATTTGTTTGGGAAATATCTGACTTGGATTAAATGAATATTATTTAACCCGGGTAAAACTTTGCTAGGGAATGTTGGAGTAATTATTTACTTGAATCTAGCACTTTTCTTCTGCGTAGGTTAATGTATCTTCCGAGAATTATGAAGAAACAAATTCTTCTATTGGACGCGGGATGCGTTCTAGAACTTACATAAAACTTACCTAAAAGAAAGGTGTTGCAACTTGTTTTGTAACCGACTGCGTACAGCCGGCAGATTTTGAAGGCTGCAGCATTCTCTTCTCAACGAGTTTCGCGGCGCATCTCGTATCTAAGAGGAAAACGTGTTTTTTGAGAAGGAGCAAGAAACGGATATAAAAGCGGAATACGTTGCGGAATTCATCGAGAAGAAGTGTCGCGACCTTTAATCCGCCGATCGTGTGTGTGTGTGCAACGCGCATAGCACACGCAAGACGTGCATACTTGTAAGAGAGCCGCTTCCGAATCATTGGGAGAAGCGACGTCTCACGAGGAGAGGAGTCACGCGTTTGCACCGGTCATTTTTAGACTCGTCGACTCGCTTCGGGGCAAGTCCGAGAAGACGAGCGAGGACTTGGAGGCTCTCGAGAACATCGAGCGTGAGATCGAGCGGCTGCGGAAGCGGCTGAACGAGGCGCGCGAGCGCGCCTCCGGCCTTTACGTTTTCGGAGTCGATCAGGACGCGACCGAGGCGGAGCTGGGCGAGCTGCACTCCCAGGTCGAGGACCTCGTCGACACCGCGAAGAAGTTCTCAGGAGACACTAAGGCGCGGTACCAAGCTAGCCAGCAGCTGGTGCCGAGTGACGTGGCCCAGCATCTGACCGCGCTCGAGCTCTGTGCCGAGGCGACGGCGCAGGCGATGGAGGAGAAGCAGCGGGAGCAGAAGCGCGCCAGAACCACCAGGTCGGATTACTTGACCGACGTGGACGAGGTGCAGGCATGGATTCGCCAGGCGGAGCTCAAGGTGCAGGACAGGTCGGTCGAGCCGGCCGTCCTACGCGAGCACCTCAGGCAGATACAAAACGAACTGGGCGCGATTAGCGACAAGCTCGAACGACTTACGAGAAACGGACGAATCATCGTCGAGAACACGAGGGACGACGCGGAGAAGGAGCTGATCAACAACACGATCAGCAGTATCAGCGAACAGCTGGCGCAGGTCAAGAGCTGGCTCGAGGAGAGGAAACAGATCGTCGGCGACACAATGGACGCCTGGCAGAGGTTCCTCACGCTCTACGAGGCGGTCAAGGCGTGGACCGAGGAGAAGAGACAGTTCCTGGTCGAGCCGCTGAAGCTCAGCACCCTCGTGCAAGCCAGGCAGAGACTGCACGAATATTCGGTACGTCCGCCGCGACCGGATGGTCCCCACCTCGCGTCGCTCTCTAGGTCTGACGCGGATGTCCGCTGAACGCATGCTTCGTTTTGTAGACGGCGGTCAAGAGCTGCAAGCAGGTGAACAAGAACCTCAGCGACATGGGCAGAGAATTGGAGAATATCGGTCAGGTGACCAGCGTGGGAGACTTGCCGGAGAAACTGGCGGAAGCGGAAGAGGGCAAGGTTCAGGTGGAGGGTCAGCTGTTGGAAAGGGTTAGTGTATAGGGTTTCGGTGTAGGGCGAGCCGCCGAGATAATCGCACGCACGGCGTTATTCCCGGAAATTGTTGCGCCAAATTGCAGAACGCACTGCTGCAAGAGGCCAGCGAGGAGTGGGAGCAGTGCGAGAGGAAGATGAAGGACGTGCGCGGCTGGATGGAGAAGGCCAGGCAGACACTGGAGTCGCCGCAGAACAAGAAGAAGCCGCTGCGCGATCAGCACGCGATCCGCGAGAAAATGCTGAGCGACATCGCGATCCAGAAGACGAAGATCACGATCTCGGTGGAGAAGCTCGAGGTGCACTTCAGGTCCGGCATCGGTGGCGACAACCGGGTGAAAGAGGCCGCCGACGATCTGATCGCCGAGCTCAACGCCCTCCACGGCACCGTCAAAGAACAGACAGCTTCCTTGGAAGTCTGTCTGGCGCAGATAGATCAGTATCAGCAGGTTAGCGATCGCGAGAAACGGCGCCCGTTTGCGAGATTTTCGCGCGCCACCCTCGGACGCTGTTCGTGTCGCTCGCGATTGGTCATCCGATGCCGATTGCGAGATTGTCTTGTTTCCATTTCAGGAGATTCAGCAGTTGCGCCAACACATCGTGCAGGTGGAGCAGCAGCTGAGGACGGTGCTCAGCCCGACGTACCTGCCCAATGACCGGGAGAAAGCTCTGCAGGAGCAACAGGTAGGCACACCTCTCTTTCCCTGATTTTTCTCTACCACCTGCACAAGCGCGCTGAAGCAGCAGTTGACTTTTGCGTTTGCCCGATACCAACTCGAAACCACCACCAAGGAGAACGCGCTCTTCCTCGACATTGTCCCGCGCGTGCGACTCGCCGGGGGTAGTTTTCTAGTCGCGTTTTCGCCGCGCGATCCAGGCATGTCTCTCCTCATTCGGAAAGAAACGATCGCGCGATTCGGGAACGCACGGTGACCTCTGACTAACCGTCGATCGAGCCATTATTAATCATGTGTAACAACAACCGACTTCCGAGTTATTCGCCACTTTTTCAACCATCGAAAGATAGAGCAAGAAAAAAGTATGATAGAGGATTGTTTCTTTTTTTCTTCTAAAATGAAGGTCTCTCGAGAATTTGTCGAATGACATTTATCGAGTAGTGAAGAATTTGCTGAGAGCATAAAAATAGCTGTCGCTTCGTGGAAACCGGTATTGAAAAAATGGCTGATAACTGTATAAGCAACTAGATGGTGGAGACATTTTGAATAAGACGTCACTTGCAGAATCGCAATTGCTGACATCCAAATGTTCAAGATGTTGCCGCCCCGTGTCTGTTGCATCCACCTCTCATCCCGCACCTTGCCTTTTCATTTAAGTGCATCCTATTTTCGTAACCTCACGCGCCGAAATCTCTCACAAAGTATCATTGATCACACGCACCGACGCATCACTTCATCGCTGAGAACTTCATTCGTTGATTGAACTATCTCACCGTTGATCGCTCACTCCTTCGTACTTGACCTCAAATTAATTATCGCGCGAACCGGATTTTGCACGCAATTTTCCAAATTTTACCATTGCATCACCTTACTACATTGAGAAAAAGATCTCTTCAAATTTAATCAATTTTATCCAAACGAATTTCATCATTGGCTCCAAAGAATAATGTTTCGATTAATAAGTACGATTGTTAGACTTTCCAATGAACATGTATCTTTATTTTGAATAAAAAATTTATTTGTAACGAAAGATAATTTTCTCATGAAGAAATTATATGTTTTATTTTACATATTTATTATAATCAAATGATATTTTATTTGGTTAGAAGATATTATTTCAAATAATGACGTTCCTTTTCTGTTAAAAAATGGAGCTTTCTTGAATGAGACAATAAAATTTTTACTTAAATAATATTTCATACAAGTATATGTTGTTTCTACGAAACATATTTTAGTTAAATAAATGGAAACATTAAATCTGAAGGAACCTTTTTCTCTGTGTACCAGATATAATTACCAGATGTAATCTCACCTACTAACATCTACTAAATTTGCCTACTTTGTTACCTACTTTTTCTTTTTTTCTATAATAAACAACGCAAGAAACGTAAAATCGGTCGGAAAATCGGCTTTTTGTTCATACGGTAATAGTCGAGCCTCGAAAAGTTCTCGATCTCGTGTTCGTCATGGTGGTACATCGCTTACGGGGTACTGGTTGGTATCATGTTCTAACTACGTTGTTTCGTTTTCCTTTTCTTACATTTGCCAACACACACACACACACACACACACACACACACACACACACACACACACACACACACACACACACACACACACACACACACACACACACACACACACACACACACACACACACACACACACACACACACACACACACACACACACACACACACACACACACACACACACACACACACACACACACACACACACACACACACACACACACACACACACACACACACACACACACACACACACACACACACACACACACACACACACACACACACACACACACACACACACACACACACACACACACACACACACACACACACACACACACACACACACACACACACACACACACACACACACACACACACACACACACACACACACACACACACACACACACACACACACACACACACACACACACACACACACACACACACACACACACACACACACACACACACACACACACACACACACACACACACACACACACACACACACACACACACACACACACACACACACACACACACACACACACACACACACACACACACACACACACACACACGTATAGCTTACTCCTCGAACATTACCCTAGAACTCTGAAAGTCATTTAATCTACGACACCTGTTCTACTGTCGTTCCGAAGGGGATTACTTGATTTTGCTTGTTTTTGTGTTCCTTTTTTCTGGTTTTTTCGTCGTTTTACTGTTATAACTTGCCACGCGTGTACATCGCAACACCTTCGTTATATATACGCTCACACGTATATATGTACCTATATATATATATATATATATATATTTTCTTTTTTTTTTCTTTTTATATGCGCATTTTTCTATGTGTGCGCGCGCGCGTGTGTACGTAAATAAGCATCACGCACATACGCCGCTTACATTCTAGAATGAAAGACCACGTAGCAAAGCGCGAAGTACTGCCGCACATTCACGTAAAGCGTGTCACGCACCGTTCACACACGTTTATGTATCCCTCACGTGATCTCCGGGCCTTTGCGATACACCCGTGTGCAACTCGGGAGAACACGTGCAAGTCGCAAGAAAATCAAGTGACCTCTCCGTTCGCGTGTCGAAAGATCATACGAGACAGACACGCAGACAGAATGCCGAAATTTCTCGCTCTCTCTCTCTCTCTCTCTCTCTCTCTCTTTCTCTGTCTCTCTTTCTTTTACGACTTTGCGTTACTTTCTGTTTTGTTGCTGTTCCGTTGCTCTCATTTTACCAGTTTTATATTTCATTTATGAATTTTTCTTTACTACACCCCCCGCTCCCCCCTTCACACCCTATTCGCCTCTTCCAACGGGAAATCGCCTGTGCTACTTTATCTGCCGCTATCATCCTCCTCGTACGCCATCTCTTCGTCGTCGTCGTATCTCTCGTGCTCCCTCTCTTGCGATCTCATCTACGTCGTCTACGTCCTCGTTGTCTACCGGGGTCGTCGTCGTCGTCGGCACATCGCTCATCATCCGTCACCTACTTGGTCGTGTCCGATCTCCTTGTGCTCTACTCTGTCCCGCTCCTCGATGTCATCTCCCCTCCCCCTGGCCCGAAATGAAATCGCCAACAATCCTGACTCCGGCTCTCTCGCTCGTTCGACGTGTTACGCGTTATTCTCGTTTTACATTCGTCCAGACCTGTCGCGAGAAAATCAAGTCCTTACAAAGTAAAATCCAGGCACGCGCCGAAAGGTCGAAGCTACTCGTGCAGCGTGGCACACCAGACTTGGAGCACTTGGACCCATGACAATAGAGATCTACCCCCGTGTACGGTTCTCGTCGTTGTTACTTCGACCGCCTGACTCGAGTAGAGAGGGCACGAGGGCTTCGCCTTCGACTTCACAATGACGATGACACATCGTTACCCGTCGTTTTGGCAGTTGAAGAATAACGACGACGACGACCGGGCCCATGCGTTCCACGCGCCAAAGATCGAGAAGGCAACGATGAACGACGAAGGCGGGACGGCTCGTCGCCGGCCGTCGTCTTCGTCGTCAGCGTGCCTCGGTGAACTCGAGCAACTACTGTTTTCTAGTATACCACGTATCTCTCCCTTTTTTTTAATTAAGTTTTTATCGAGCACTGATTTTCTAATAGATATACTCACTCTTCGCGAGATTCGCGATTACGTTGTCATGTATGCGCGCGTCCTTGATCCTAATGTCTATCTATGCTTCGATAGTCGTACAATGATGTGATTGAGCAAGGGAAAAATAAAAGATCCGTTTAATCGCCAGCCGGTGGTCCGAGCGTACGTTCATTCACGCGAGCCCCGTCACTTTAAGTCACCTCGCGCGCCTCGATCAAGAGAGAGAAGTTTTTGCCGACATGCTATTTCCCGACATTTGCGAACACACCCGGCTCGAGATCGAATCTTGGCTTGAAAACAAAAAAAAAAACACCGAAAAAAGAAAAGAAAAAAAAACCGATATCGCCTCTCACCCTCTAACCCCGCGATGACAGTAAAGAGACTCCGCGAAATTGACATAGTGTATATGTATTCCATTGCTGTGCCTTGGCTGACCCTCCGCGGCGGATAAAGCAGAGCCTGCAGGAACGGATGGAGGGTTGGAAGCAACGCGGCAAGCTCCTGATGAATCAGATACTCGCCGTAGACCCGTACTACGTGCCCAGCAACGAGTACCGGTTCACCGGCCAGGCCTCGTACGCCGATATCGCAGCGGGCCGCACCAGCCCGAACTCGAGAAACTGTAGCCCGTACAGGCAGCAACGGGACGCCACTCCTCCCGCCGCGACGCAGGTGTTGCGGCCTGCGGTCACACGGATGCAGAAGCTGACCACGGAATGTCCGCCGGGCGAGACGCAGCGGCGCGAGGCCGCGAAGACGCGAGCTCAGAGGGGCTCGGACGCGGAGAAGCCGAAGCCGCGCACGGAGATGCACGTGCAGGATCCGAGTGCGCAGATCGATGCGGAGGACGATCACCAAGACGTCATTCCCGAGGTCATCGTCGTCGAGGCTCGTCGAGGGCGTTCGCCCACGCGCAAGACCACCGTCTCGCCTAGGACGAAAGAGGTGGTGCGGGAGGAAGAGGCTGTTGACAAGAAGTACGACAATCCTCGGGCGAACCCGAGGCAAGAGGCACGGGCGGAGGTCCCGGCGAAGAACACTCTGGCGCCGCAGGACGAACGAAGGGGCCGTTCCCCGAGCCCCATGTGGGTGCCCGGCTCCACGTCTTACGCCGACATCCTTCGTGGATGCTTGCAGACCGCGCAGGTGAACGTCGCAACCGCGGATCCTCCCAGGCAGGAGATGGTTCCCCTTTCCGCGGAGTCGCGACGTGGCCACGTTGAAGCGGCTCCTCGCGCGGAGCAGGTGCCCGTCAAAGCGGACAAAGTTCCCGCCGGGGACGTGACGGAGCCCCAACGAGTCGCCTCCGAGTCTCCTCAGCCTCAGGTCGCGTCGCAGAAGATGGAAAGCGTGCAGATCGCGGAAGCCTACTGCCAGCCGGCGGAGATGCCCGCGGAGAAAATCGACGAGCAGAGCTACGGCAAGCCCGGCTCGGCCGATTGGACTGACAAGGCGCTGGAGGATTACAACGTGCTGCAACACCACGTGGAACCGGCTTACGTGGAAGAGGTGCAAGCCCAGCCCGCCGAGATCTACGATTATATAATTCCGGAGCCGGAACTGGTCGGCTTCATCGGCTCTCAGCTCGGAACGTATCCGGTGAGTTCGTACGTTTACGCGCCATCCGCCGGCCATCATCATCACCATCATCATCAGCAGGTGCAGCAGCAGCTCGACTCAATCAACTTGAACCCTTACAACAACGGCTCCCTGGCTTACACGCCCGAGCACTACGTCGCGCAGACCGCGTATCTCTCAGCGACGGAGATTTACCAGCAAACTCAGATACAGCAGCAGCAACAGCAGCAGCAACAACAATCTCCCGGTAGCGACGCGAGGTGCGCGACTTCGATGCTGATCCAAAACGCAGACAAGCCCGTTCAGATGCAGGCGTCCAGGCAACCGGAGGTCGCGACTGAGCCCATCGACAAGCCCGAGCAGGAAGAGCCAATGAGCGTTGCAAACGCAGCGGAAGCTGCGACGACGAATCAATCCGAGGGGAAGGATGCGGCATCGTTGGTTAATAACGAGATCAAAAACCAAACTTTCTCGTACGCGCAAATCCTGTCGCAGGGACTGAGCCCGCGCGTCACTCCGACCCGAGTCATCGGCAAAATATCGGCCGTGGAACACCGGAGCAAGGAACGATCCTATTCGCCTAAGGAGTCCCAATCGTCTCGCGAATTATCGCCGTCGCAGGAATTCAAAGTCTTCGGCAGAGACTCGCAACAGCCGCTCGCGAAATCCGAGCAGCCTAAGCAACCCCGCGAGAGCGACTGGGGCACGATGAAGAAACGGGAGATGAGGAAGAAGCAACAGAACGACAAACCCAAACCGGACGAAAAGAAAGCGCAGAAGTCCGATAAATCGAAGGAGAGACAGAAGAAGGACAAATCGAGTCCCCCGAAGCAAAGCGTAGAAGTGCATGATGAGCCTGTGATCGACCAGATAGTCGATAACTCAGGCAAAAAGGAGGAGAAAGCGGAGAAGCTCGAGGAAAAGCGAATGATCGATTCGGTGGAGGCGAGTCCACCGCAAGAGAAGAAACGCAAGCAGAAGAAAAAGAGGACGAACAAATCGGGCGGGGACGAAATTGACAAGGCGCTGAAAGAAATCGAGGACATGGACAAGCAGAAAGCGAAGTCTCAGAAAGATAAACCGAAAGAGCAGAGCAAAGATCAGAGCAAAGAGCATATCAAGCCTCGAGAATCCAATGCCAACGAGACGCTGGACAAATCTAAAGACGAGGCCGACAAGAAACAGAGCAAATCCGCCGAGAAGCCTAAAAAATCTAAATCTAAAGAAGCTGCAAGAGTGAAAGAAAATATTCCAGTCAGACAAGACGCATTGCCGAGTCAGATGAAAATGGCAGATCAAAGTATTCCTAAAGATGGCATGAAAATTGAAGAAGATACGAAAGGTACGAAAGATTTTATGAAGGACAGCGATATGAAAGATTTGGGCTCCAAAGGCGAGGAGGAAATCCGGAAGGGTAGTTCTAAAGAGGAGCTGAAAGATCAAACTCATATTACCGATGATACCCACGTTCATTCTAACAAACCTGACACTAAAACTAAGCACAAAAGCAAAACAAGTAAGAATACGAAAGAACGTACTGGGGAAAGCGCGGAAAGTACGGTTAAGCAGCAATCGAGTGTTCCAAGCGATACCACAAAAGAGAAAGCAAATATTGTCGCCGACGAAAGTTGTTTAACGGAGATTGTAAAAGTACCGGACATTCAACCAGTCGAGTTGAAAGATACAGTTGAGAAGCCGGGTACGGCCACGACGAAACAGAAAGACACGTCGAAGAAGGAGCAATCGTCGAAGAATAAAACAAAGTCGAAGGAACTAAAGCTTGAAGCCGAATACAATAATAAAAATCAGGAGAAACTTGAAAACGGTCTTAAAGAAACGTCCACAAGTAATTCTCCCGAATCAAATAAACCACTGTCTGACACGGAAGTTAAAGATACTAAATCAAGAGTGCTCGATACCGCGAAAGTCGTTGAGGTGAACGGCACTGTGAAAGGTAAAGCCAATTCGCGTAAGAAAGATAAGGCCTCTAAAGGTAAAGCAAAATCTGAGGCTACAGCCGATCTTACGTCATCGTTAATCCCGACAAGCGAAGTTTTAAGTGAAACTAAAATTTTAACGAGCTTTGATAGCGCGGACAAACTGATCGTTCTGAAATCGGAACAAATAACCGAGGAAACTAAACTTGTAGAAACGCCGGCAACAGATGCCAAGGAGCCCGATTTGAAAGAAGTGCCGAAGGAAATCATTTTGCCGTCTGAATTAATTCAGCAAACGGAAGAAGTAACACAAACTGATATTACACGCAAAAATGATGAAATAGTTCGCGATCAGACTGAAGTTAAAGAATCGACCGAGAGCAAAGTATCGGAGCATTATCAAACGGATGCTAAATTGGAAGTAGAAAGCATAACGGCTTCAGAGACGGCTTCAGAGACGGCAAATACAATAAGTGAGAAAAGAGTTGTTATTAGTGATACAGACGTTGAAAAAATCGAGAAGCGAGAAAAGGAGAAGCGCCAAATGAGAACAGGTAAGCAGAAAAAATCTGATAAAACGAAGATGCCTGGCACGCAAGATCGAGATAAGCCAAGGAAAGGTGACGTTGAAGTATCGCTCCCAGCCGAGAGCGAAAATAAATCTCTCGGGGAAGAGGATAAGCTCAAGATAGAATCTTCATCCAAATCTGTAATCGAGCCTGTAGTGGAGACCTTCGTCCAAACCGCGGAGAAAACAAATTTGGCCGAAGTAGAAGTGTCGGTATCTGGTGACGGCTGCCTTATACAATCTAAAACGGATGCCAAAGACACCGGCGATGTTAAAACAGACGGGAAAGATGTTACGACGAATGCTCCGGTTAATAAACGCGCGCCAGAGACTCCGTCGAAGAGTAAGAAGAAAGGTAAGTCGAAGGATAAATCAAAGGACGCTCAACAGGCGCGCAATATAAAATCCGAAGAATCTATGTCGAAGGCTGAAGTCGCCACGACAGAATTGGAAACTGCACAGCCGGTTACATCGATGAAGGAAAATGTATCCCACAACGAAACTACAGAATTTATCGAAACTGTCGTTACATCGAATGTAATCCCGACTTCGATTGCGGAAATCCCGACAACGATAGCAGAAACAGGTTCGACCGTTCCCACGGAGCTTGAAAATGTGGTTGAAATCCCTGCCATAGAAGTTTCGCTCCAAACATCCGAGACTTCTCCACAGACGGAAAACACTGCTACGAAGGTGGGAGAAAAACAACCAATTGTCGAGAATGGAAAAGTTGATCATTCTCCGCAGGAAGCAATTGTCAGAGATGAGGACATTAAGACCGATACACTCGTTAAGGATCCTTCAATCAAAAAGCCGCAAAATGCCGGAAAATCGAGAGATCTCGCGACTAAAGAGAAAACGTCGAAGCATGCCAAAAAGAAGAAACTCGAATTCACCGAACACCGTGCAGTTGAACAGACGAAACATTCCTCTCGCGATAAATTCTGCGAGAAGACCGTTTCCAAAGACGATTCGACGAAAGAGGAGGAAACCCCGAGACCCGCAACTTGCCCGACGGGCCAACGCGAGGTCGAGCGAGAGAAATTGGACGAGAGGCAACCGTCACCTCCGCAAATGAAAAATATTGAGATCCAGCGGAGACGGGAACTGCCAGAGAAGACCGTGGCGGAAACCGAGGTCGATTCCAAACTTCCGAGCGATTCTGCCGATGAGGTTGAATCACGCGGGAAACACGACGATGAAACGCGTAACGACAGTCCGCAACTTCCCTCGACCGGGAAGGCCTTGATCATCGAGAAAATGGTTACTACGGTAACCACCACTACCAGCGTTCCGGGATCCGTGAAAGTCAAGCCCCCGGACGTCAAGTCCGTGAAGTCGGTGGAGATCCTAGAAAACATACCCTTACCCAAAATCGTAGGCTCGAAGGTTACCGAGTTGATCACTTTGCGCCCTGAAACCGTAGAGGCTAGTCTTACCACCACTTACGCTAGGGTACCGAGCGACGTGGGTCCTGTTAGTAGTTGTCCGGTGCAATCGGCGGATCAAACGGCTAATTCTCGTAAAGTAGATTTAACTTCCCCCGCGAGCATTTACGCCGAGAGTATCGCAACGTCCGACGAGGTCTTGTTCGGTAGCGTGCGGGATAGGAGGAAAGTTTGTCCGGAAATTTCGCAAGGTCGGGACATTTCGAAGAGATCGCCGGTGATCGCCGCGTTCGACGGGATGAGAGAGGAACAGATCGTTCGCGTAGATGATAAGACGAAGGGACAGGAAGAGCTAATTTTATCGAACGAATTCGTACAATTGGGAGATCAATCGAAGGTAGAAATTCCTGAGGGAAAATGCGAGAAGGACGACGCGATAAGGGAGACGATATCCGATGACACTATTTTGCAGGACGACAATATCGCAGAAAATCGGGATATCGAAAATTCTATCGAGGAAAATAATGTCGCGTTGAATAACAAAGTTAACGAAGGCGCGTCAAATATTCCGATCATAAAGGAGGAAGAACGGACTGATGAAGAGAAAATCAATGTCGAAGTGATAGCTGAGAATATCCGAGAGGAAACGACGGGAGAAAAAGTACCGGTCGAGACGAAATGTGAAGTAAAACGGGAGGACATTCCCGAAATCGCGAAGGCGAGGAAGCAAATAGTATCTGATTATTTATTAGATCTTGTTAAGCCTTACGCCTTGGATCGTCACGCTTATAATCACGCGGAAAGTAACTTCTATCGCTATTTCAAAGTCGTTAAAACGATAAAAGAGCCGCAATCGCCTTCTCCTGTTGTCCAGGCAAGACCGGAGAGCATGATAAGAATTGTGCAAGAATCGGTGATGAAATCCGTCGAACAACCGAGTCGGAAGGAGTCCGAAGTTAGTTGCAGAAAGCATGCTCTTATCATGGAGGCGCCGAAATATCCTCTCGCCAGTTTTTACGAGTTCGAGTCGCATTGGGTGCGAGCTAAATCCGTCGCTGAAAAATCTCTATCTGTCTCATCCGATGATACCGAAATATCACAGGAATCTGTGATAGAAAAGGCGCCACAAGTCATCGAGGAAAAAATAACAAAGAATATAGCATCTGATCTTGAAGAAAGTACAACTCTAATTGATGAGGAGAAACTTAAAATGACAGAAATGAGTGAAAATGTAGAGATATCCGCGCCTCAAGTTACCACAATCGTAGAGGTGTCACTATCGGATAAGACATTGGATTCATTAATTATTGAAGATAAAGACAAGAAGCTGACGGACGTGAAACAATCGATACATTTGGTTTCCGACGATTTTTGGATGAGTATCTTAGACGAACCAATGGTCATCGATGATGATTTCGATGACACATTTGAACCGGAAACAATAACGAGGGAGGAAACAATAAATAAAATATTGACGGATGTTTGTATCGATGAACAAGATGAGAAAGGCGAAGGGAAGATGACGGAAGAACAATCGCCCAAAGATGTTTCCCATGTTAAGGAAGTTCTGCCATGTGCTGAATCAACTACAGATACAGTATCACTTAACACGGCTATTGATAACGTATTATTTAAAGAAGCAGATTCAATTATTGAAACCGACGATTCAATACCAATTAGCGAAACATCAGAAGTGAATGAATTCGTTAAATCATCCATAGAGAAAATTAGCGACGTTCAATTGACGAGTACTGATATGATAACAGACACGAATATGCATACAGACGAAGTTGTTGCGGAAGATAAAGTTAAAATCCTGGAGCAAAAGCCGGAAACTAAAGCAGCACCTGCAATGACACCGTTCGTGCACTTGGAATCCGATGACGCTTGGATGTCTCTTTTGGAGGAAGAAATAACATTGGATGACGATTTCGACATGTCGGAAGCTCAAGTAAAGGAGGCAAGCGAAGTTGAAAAAGAAGATAAAAAGCCTGAAAAGATGGAAAAAATCGAACAGCAAAAAGAAGAAATAGAAAAGGAAGAAGCGAAGATTAAAGTTTTGAGCAAAACGGCCCTACCAGAAGTTGAAATAGAAGGTAAAGAGTCTGAAAAGATGGAAAAGATCGAACAGCAAAAGAAAGAGATAGAAAAGGAAGAAAATAAAGAATTTGAAAAGACGGAAAAGATCGAACAGCGGAAAGAAGAAATAGAAAAAGAAGAGACGAAAATTGAAATTTTTAGCAAAACAGTCCTACCAGAAGTTGAAAAAGAAGATGAAGAGTCTGAAAAGGCGGAAAAGATCGAACAGCAAAAAGGAGAAATAGAGAAGAGAGAGGCGAAGATTGAAGTTTTGAGCAAAACGGTCCTACTAGAAGTTGAAAAGGAAGGTAAAGAGTCTGAAAAGATGGGAAAAATCGAACAACAAAAAGAAGAGATAGAAAAGGAAGAAAATAAAGAATTTGAAAAGACAGAAAAGATCGAACAGCAGAAAAAAGAAATAGAAAGGATAGAGACGAAGATTAAAATGTTTAGCAAATCAGTCCCAGAAGTTGAAAAAGAAATAGAAANATCGAACAGCGGAAAGAAGAAATAGAAAAAGAAGAGGCGAAAATTGAAATTTTTAGCAAAACAGTCCTACCAGAAGTTGAAAAAGAAGATGAAGAGTCTGAAAAAGCGGAAAAGATCGAACAGCAAAAAGGAGAAATAGAGAAGAGAGAGGCGAAGATTGAAGTTTTGAGCAAAACGGTCCTACCAGAAGTTGAAATAGAAGGTAAAGAGTCGGAAAAGATCGAACAGCAAAAGGAAGAAATAGAAAAGGAAGAAGATAAAGAATTTGAGAAGACGGAAAAAATCGAACAGCGGAAAGAAGAAATAGAAAAAGAAGAGACGAAAATTGAAATTTTTAGCAAAACAGTCCTACCAGAAGTTGAAAAAGAAGATGAAGAGTCTGAAAAGGCGGAAAAGATCGAACAGCAAAAAGGAGAAATAGAGAAGAGAGAGGCGAAGATTGAAGTTTTGAGCAAAACGGTCCTACTAGAAGTTGAAAAGGAAGGTAAAGAGTCTGAAAAGATGGGAAAAATCGAACAACAAAAAGAAGAGATAGAAAAGGAAGAAAATAAAGAATTTGAAAAGACAGAAAAGATCGAACAGCAGAAAAAAGAAATAGAAAGGATAGAGACGAAGATTAAAATGTTTAGCAAATCAGTCCCAGAAGTTGAAAAAGAAATAGAAAGGAAAGAGGCGAAGATTGAAATGTTTAGCAAATCAGTACCAGAAGTTGAAAAAGAAGATGAAGAGTCTGAAAAGACGGAAAAGATCGAACAACAAAAAGAAGAAATACAAGAAAAAGAGGCGAAGATTGAAGTTTTGAGCAAAACAGTCCTGCCAAAAGTTGAAAAAGAAAATAAAGAGTCTGAAAAGATGGAAAGGATCGAACAGCAAAAAGATAAGTTGGAGAAGGAAGAAGATAAAGAATCTGAAAAAACGGAAAAGGTCGAACAGCAAAAAGAAGAAATAGAAAAGGAAGAGGCGAAAATCGAAGTATTGAGCAAAACGGTCCTACCAGAAGTAGAAAAGAAAGAAGATAAAGTGTCTGAAAAGACGGAAAAGATCGAACAGCAAAAAGAAGAGATAGAAAAGGAAGAAGTCAAGATTGAAGTTTTGAGCAAAACGGTTCTACCAGAAGTTGAGAAAGAAGATAAAGAGTCTGAAAAAATGGAAAAGATCGAACAGCAAAAAGAACAAATAGAAAAGGAAGAAGATAAAAAGACGGAAAAGATCGAACAGCAAAAAGAAAAAATAGGAAAGGAAAAGGCGAAGATTGAAGTTCTGAACGAAGCAGTCCTATCAGAAGTTGAAAAAGAAGACAAAGAGTTTGAAAAGATGGAAAAGATCGAACAGCAAAAAGAAAGGGTAGAAAAGGAAGAGATGAAGATTGAAGTTTTGAGCAAAACGGTTCTACCGGAAATTGCCGTGAAAGATGAATACCTTGCCGGTATAAAAGATATACAAACTGCGACTTTGGTGGATAACGAGAAACATATCGAAAAGACGAAAACTCAACCGAAGAAGAAGAAAGAATCGAAGCATACGAAAGACGCGAAAACTAAAGATCAGACGAAGTCTAAAGCAGGACCCAAGAAACAGAATGAGGTAGATATGAAACCGGCTGTCATCGAAAGCGACTCATTGCCGACAAAATATGCCTCGGAGGAAATTAATGTCAAAGCAGCAGATGTCGAGATAAAGGAAACGGAAAAACCATTGATAGCGGACAAACAACAGACCGAGGAATCGAAACCTCTTTCAGAAGAACCTACGTTGAAACAAAAGGAGCTTAATACGGTGGAAGAAGTACCCGAGAAACCGTCGGTGAAACATGAGGAGGCTAAGTCGAAATCTGGAAAGAAAGCTAAAAAGCAAAGTGAGAAATCCGAGGCGGTCCAAGAAAAATTAGCAAAAGGCGACGATAAATTAGACAATGTTTCTTCCAAAGATTGGGTTAAAGAGATCGAGTCAGATGTAGTTGAGGTATCGCCGGTCGTACAGAAACAACAAGAACCGAAGGAAGATATACCTAAATACGACAGTCGATTAAACCCAAACGCCAAATCGTGGGCGGCCATCGTTGGCACGAAGGGTGCGACGGAAACGGCTACAGTTCCCGAAGACGATTCTTTGAGTATTCAAACACCCGCTGTTGTCAGTCAAGATACAATTGACAGTGCCCCAAGTGTCGTCGAGGAACGTCAAACTTCAGACGAGCGCGATTCGCGCGAAATTCCGTCGAAATCAGAGACGCACGTGACTTCGAAAAAACACATGAACCAAAGTGTCATCGAAGAATCGAAAGTGGCAGTGGCGGAAGAGGTTGCCAAGCCGGTCGCAGAGAAACCCGCCGAATCGCCGGAGCAATTCAAGGAAGGAAGCAAATCTTACGCGCAAGTCGCAGCCTCTTCCCGACGAACCTCTCCTCAGGTATTTCAGGAGGAAACGTATCTGATCAAACCCGTTCCGTTGAAGTCCGATCATAAAGTAATCGATGTGAGAATACCCGCTCCCGACGAACCGTGTAGGGATGCGGAGGAATTGCCAGGTCCTGCGGAACAACAGGAGATTTTGCCGATCAATGAGACGACGGTGCAGCAAACCGCTGATCATGAGACAATTATCGCGGAATTCACTCCCCAAAACGAGTCGGTTCCTTGGGTAGAAGAGGTCGAGGAAGAAACATCGATCGTTTCTTCTGACTCTCACCGCGCTGCAGACTCGAGAGATGCTAATATTTCGTGTGCGAAGCCGGATACAAGTACATGGGCCGCGATAGTTGGTAAGAAATCCGTGGAATCGCCTGAAATTAACAACGCCCCTAGTCTCGAACAAGTTTCCCGTAAACCGGATCAAAGTGTCGAACTGAAGTCTCCGACGCATGTTCAGATTTACGTGGAAGAGGTTCCCGAGCAAGAATCTGTAGAGAAGTTAGTTCAAGTAGACGAACAAGGTTTCGTGGAGTTCCTTAATCGAAAGGAATTGCGCTCCAGACGGTCCAGATCGCGTTCCCGAGGAGATAAGCGGGACGACGGACGTGTGACCGTGGAAGCTTCAGATTTGGTCAAAGATAAGGAGACGAAAACAGATGCGGAATCGCAAAGCGGTGAAAATATCGCAGCCAAGGGAGAGGTTGGGGATGAGAATAAGCAGCTAGTATGGGAACAGGAGAACGAACAGAAACAAGTGGACGAACTGACGGAAGTCGTTAAAAAGGAAAATGTTCCGAAAGAAATCGTCAAACCGACCAAGAGCAAAGATAAGACCAAGCAGAAGAAAGATTTGAACGAACGTAAGAAAGACGAACGTAAAAAGGACAAGAAACAAAGTGAGGAGATTAGCGAGATGCAGAGTGACGAAGGTAAAATTCTGCAAGAAATCAGATCAGAACAAGATGAAACGCCTAAAGACAGGAAGGCTAAGTCCAAGAAGAATAAGTCTAGCAAGGACTCGGTGAGACAACAACCCGAAATGAAAGCACAGAAAGAATTAAAGAACGTTAAGGAAACGATAAAAGAGGAATCGAAACCTGTAAACGAGAGCGAAACTCCTGAGGGGATTCAAGCGGAAAATATCGTGATTGAAAGTCAAGAGTCTAACACTATTGAGGATCAAATAATGAAAGAAACACAATTAATTACTGATACAGACAATATTCAAGAGATTAAGATTAAGGATGCAGAGACACTTCCGACTATGGAGAAAAACAGTACTACGAAGTCTAAAAAAAAATCGAAGAATAAGAAGGGAAAAGTTGCGTCCGAACAACCGATCGAAAATGCACCTGACACAGGGAAGAAGGTGGTAGATGAAAATTTGGAGAAGAAAATGGAATCTCCAGTGGAGATGAAACCAGACGACGAAGTAAAAGTAAAACCGGAAGAAGGAATTACTACGGACGTAACTCACGACGTACCTGCGAGTTCAGAAAAAAAAGAAGCTTCAACAGAGAAGATTAGCAATCAGGAAAATATTGAACAGATTGTATTCGATAAAATTACAGAACAGGAAAGCGTCGAACAAAAGAAAACGGCGTTGGACGTGCCTGAAAATACCGGCGAACTTAAAGAATCACACGTGGAAAATGTGGGGGAAAACGTGACGGAACAGAAAGAAATTCCCAAACTGTCGAAAGCGGAGAAGCGGAAGCAGAAGAAGAAAGCGAAAGCTTCGTCGCGAAACGAGGTAACTGAAAAGAAAGAAATCGAACCTGCTGAAGAGGACTTTGTTCATAGAAAGTCTGCCGATTCACTTAGCGAGACAAACATTGCTGAAGTAATTAAAGTCGAGGAAATAGTTAAATCAACAGATGAAACCGTAGATACTACGTCATCGGAGGCTAAAATAGGCGTTGCATCGGAATTAAAGAAAGACCATGAGTCGACAACTGAAATACAGGTCGTACAAATGGAGGAACCTGAGAAATCTACGGAGAAATCAGAAGCAGAAACTGCAACTGTAACTGAAGATGAAACGTCTCTTCCGCAAGTAACTTCGATTGCGGATAAGCAGAAACAAAAGAGCAAATCGAAATCGAAAAAGGGAAAACAGCAACAAGACGATAAAGTCAAGTCAAGTCAGGAAGATCTTGCGACGAGTATACTTACGGCGGATTCCAAAGAGATTGAATCTTCGCCAATTATAGAAAATGCTGAAACCTTAAGCTCCTCCAAAGACGTAGTAACACCCGATAGTCGGCAGGATGAGGAAGCAAACGTTGGAGATCGAAAAGTAGACAGCGAGCCGACTGAAATTTTGCAATCTCTAGAAGACAAGACCGACACAAACGATCCGCCTGTAACGACCGAAGTAACCAAACCAGAAGACACGAAGGAACCGGAACCACTTGTATCTTCCCCAGAGAAAGAAATAAACGAAGAACCGATAGCAATCGACGTTGACGAAAACGTATCGGCGGACGAAGGCAAGATGGATCGAACAAATACATCCAATCCAGGTGACGAAATCTCCACACAAGTGGAGTCATCGAGTGACTCGACTGGCACGGTCATAAAGCATTCTCCGTCGTTGGACGAGCTATCCTTCATCGCCCAACGGTCCTTCGACAACGAGGACAAGCGCGTCGCAAGTGCCGAGCAAGAAAGTCCAGGCTCCGATCTTTTGGGTGCACTTCCCAAGTCCAAGGTACAGTTCTACATTGCGGACGAGATCCTGGTCCTGAAACCCGAGAAACGCAAAGGGAACGTCTCCCCGCCGGAGAGCTTCCTGCAGAAACGACGCGACGACTTCTACAGCTCGCGGTTCCTCTCCATCGACGGTGGCTTTTGGCCCGACAAGCGACCCTATCACGAAGCCGAGCGCGATCACTTCGAAAATTTAGCCTTGAGCACGAAAAAGAGCCTCCCGCGAGTCGATTCCGACGACCGTCACCGTCCGCGGGACGACGACCGCGACAATTCGGGCGGCGGCGGTGGTGGTAGATCGCGGGATCCCTGCGACAATTCGCGCTCCCTCCTGGGCGCGCCCCAGACGGAGCGCATGGTGGCCGACTTGCCGGGTGGCATTTGTAGCTGGAGCGACTATAGTACTTACCTGTCGAGCGAGAGCGAGCGGACTGTAGATCCGGACGGCCCGACGGCGCTCGGCACGGTCGAGGATCCAACGATCGACTCGGGTTTGTCCTTGGATTACTCCTCGCCGAGCGACGTTCAGTCACCTCCCGACCTCCTCCCCCCTCTCCCGCCGTCGTCCTCCTCCTCCCCAGCTGAGCATCCGCAGACCGAGTCGCGCACGGAGTCACCCGTAGACGCTGAAGTAAGCCCGAGGGAAGAATATCCTGCGCTCTCTTCGAGCATCCTCCAAAGTCCCGATCATCATCCCAGCACTGGTACCCAGTCGTCGACCCTCGCCCATCTTCGTCCACAATCCAAACTGCATTTAGGTAGAGAAACGAGGGAGGAATCCGTGCAACGGTGCAGCCCGAACGGGGTGGCGGAAAGTGAGACGGCCGAAGGCGAGGCTGAAAGATGGATACGCAGGATCCAGGTGCGACCAACGTCATTGCCAGTGCTCGGTCTTGTTCTAGTTCGAGTTTGATCAAGTCCACCGCCACATATTTATATATATACATGCATATGTATATATACCTGTTGTTATTTAGTTATATCTGGATTGGTTTACCCCTCTGGTTTTACCTCTCTCTCTCTCTCTCTCTCTCTCTGTCTTTCATATTTTATTTTTCTTTCTTCCATTTTCTGTAACGACTACGTTTTCGTTTTTGTTCTGTATTCGATACTTGAGTGTGTGCAATTTTCTTATGCCGCAACTCGTCGGTTGCGACGGTGTGCGTACATATGTTGCTGCTCTGTTGCTGTCTCCCTCTCCTACATATGTTGCTATTATCGAGTATTTGTTATTACGTAAGCCCCCGCTCTAATCCACGGTAACACAAACGGTCGTGACGTAGTTAATCCTCTGTCTCCCGATGGCACAACACACGGATTTAATTAGCGTAGCGGATTGATCCTCGCCGTTCGCGCATGACACGGCGATGTTGCGATCGGCTCTTTGTAAAGTGCAGTTCGCATTACTTGCATGCACACGCCCGCTTCTTCAAGTATGCGCCCCTCCCCTCCCCCCCGTGTACGAGACATCCAGTAAGCCGTGAGGAATCGTCGTTTTACCGGACATCCTGTATCGCTCCTCGCTTCTTTTTGCCCATTGCGCGTACTCTACTAAGATGTTGCAATTTCGCTGTCGTTACACGTGTAGTTTTTAGTACTCGGAATTGGTAATGATAGACGAGTGAAACAATCGCTATCGGATATCGCAGCAAAACCACTTGTAGAGAACGATAACGAGTCGTCAGCACAGTTAACACGCAGGAAATGAAAGTTAATACGCAAAGCAATTCCCAACATCCTCTCGACATCTCGTTGCTGGCAACTTTACGTGACAGGTCTTTGCATTCGAATTTGTTAGCAAAGTGTCCCAGAACTTGTCGAGATTTTGCATGACTTGTTATTGTCCCCCGTCATTGATCACTTGCGCTGGCGACTGATCGCCTGCCAAATCGTTCATATACTGAGAAAAAAGACTTAAAAATTTACTTGTGAAATGTAAGATTTATTTTGCAGAAATAAACGTTTATTTAAATACGGCAAAATACAATTTTATTTCTAGCAAATAAACGAATTAATAAGAAAACTGAGGTATATATTTCACAAAAATGTATATTCCATCGTCACGGTTAAATTTTTTTCTAATCAATAAATATCGAAGAATATGCCATGAGAAAAATTTACATCGCAAAATTTCAACTTCTTCTTCTCAGTGTAAAATTCCTTAGTAGATGTTCGGAAAAAAGATATATTGTAACACATTGCCCATGTAGCGCAAATATTCAAAAGACATTCTAGGAACGTCTTGGAGATATTCGAATATTCCTGGGATGTCCCTAGAATGTCTACTGGACATTTGTACTACATGGGAGATGACACAGCGACATTGTAGCGTCTTAAGACAGGTCTTAAGACATATTACTCGCATCGTTCCAGTGCAAGTGATTAAAAGCTATTTTCCCGTGTGTAGCAACGAGCGTTTGTACAAACTCCCGTAACAGATGATGTTGATGAAGTACACGCGACATCGTCGAGTGCCTTCGTCAAAGATGTATTTCACAGTGTGCTGTCTCGTAACCCCGCCCCAAACAAGCACTTTACCTTACAGGTGTTCTAAGAATGTCCGACGCTAAACATGTTAAAAGTCGCAGCGTGAAGGTCGAGTGGACCCCGTCGTGTGCATGGCTGAGATAATAACAAGCTTCATTGTCGACGTCGAAGTCGCTAATGGGCACTTGTGTTTCAGGACAACGTCAAGGAAGGTCTCGCTTCTTTGCAAGTGAGACTTGCTTGTTCCGAGGGAACGATGGGTTACTTACCTCAGGATAACATAGAGTCCATGCTGTCGTCCCTTATGGTAAGTGCGCCTAACCGAAAAAGGAAGAAAATAAGAATGAAAATTGAGAGTCCGAAAGAATAAGAAAATGAAGTTTCGACAAATTCTATCAACCTCTAACGATAAGGTCGGATGCGACCCCACACCTCATTTTCTATAAGCGCGTGATATTATTTAATATTAAATAATATCCTAGGCATATTCTTAGAATATCAGACGTAATATTCTAATAATATTTTAGTAATATTATTTAATATTAAGTAATATTTCTGGAATATTTATGGTCCACTCCTAATAATATAAAAAAAATAATATTATTTAATGTTATTGTAATATTATATATTTTTTTAATATTCAACTTTATATATACATATAATATATATAATTTTTTATTTTATTTATTTCAAATGTATTGCAATACCAATTGTTTTATTATATAAATAAAGTCGAAAGGATTTTGTGTAAAAATACGTTTTATACTAAAAACAATTATACACACACATACATTTCTATATTATTATTATTTTATTTTTTTAATATTCTAAAAATATTTTTATACTATGCCAAGAATATTATGTGAAGTGGATATATAATAACAGTAGAACATTTCTATAATATTAAAAAATATTACATAACATTCTTAGAATATTATAAGAATATTATTTGAATATTTATATAATATTTGAGGAATATTATGCGCTTATTGGGTTTACGATTTTTTGATCACCCCTCGTATTTTATTTTACAACATGAACGCGCTGTTTCTCTTTTTAATGAATGTTCCACGTTATTACCATGTTATTTACTTCTTTCACCCCTTTTGTACATTGATAACATGAAAAATGAACAGAACAAAGTATGGGATCGGGTCCAACCTCCCTTTCCTGGATACGTTGAAAATCCATCTTGCCGTTAAAGAGTTAATTACACGTCAATCGTCACTCATTCCAACCATATCGTCGTGCGGAGAAGCACGTCAGCGGCCGATCGATTTGTCGTAAAATCGAGCGTCTTCTTTTTACCTGCTTTAGACTGTATTGGCGGAGCTTCACACCTACGAGGAGCCTGCAGCACAACTTCAAGAGCAATTACGCGAGATACCTGCCGACGTCGAGTCTCAAAGGCTGTCGTTGGCTTTGACGGGATTTCAAACGCGCGTTGCCGCCCTTCTCGATCAAGCGGAACAGGGGAAAGCAGCTCTCGAACAGGCGTTAGAAAGCCGGGGGAGGCGCGAGCAGGAGATTGGAGCCTACAGGTTGTTCCTCGACGAGACGGATACTTGGCTGAAAAGCGTCGTATCGGAAATGCATGAGCAACATTCGCTCAACACCAACAAGGTCTGTTGGATCGCTCGTCCCACTTGTCGGCCTAACTAATTATGATATCTTCAGTCGATAATACCGTAGTAGTTTTAGTACCACCGAATTTAGAACGCAAATATGCGCAATACCATAGAGATCTAACTCGATCAATACGTTACTCTGTTCCACTATGGCGAAGTAATACCGATCTCTCGCTTGCCGCAACGAGCAGGCTTTGCAGGACGAATTAATGAGCCGCGCGAGTCGAGTGTCAGAGCTCGAGTCGCTTCCGGAGGTAAGCGGACTGGCGACGACGCTGAAGGAAGCCCTCTTGGACGTAATCGGTCGTCTCCAGCAAAAGCAGCAGGTACCCCACGCTTACCTGGGCTCGGGAGCTTTCGCAAACTTCACACTTCTTCGTGCCTCGGTCGCTTTAAAATAGTATTAAAGGGTACAGAGGGATGAAAAAAATCGATTCTCGCCTTTCGAATCTTGCCGGAGCTTCGCGCCGTATCGAGAGAGAAAAAATGGAAGGCTTGCCAGTTGCCGGTTTATTACAAAGCTAGCGGCTTTGTAGGACGGATATTAAATGTTATACGGATAGATAGGTTCAATGATAGACCGTTAATTAACAGTCGTTAATTAACAGTAAAATCGAATCAACTTTCCGGTCGTGCGCGCCGAACTGGTTTACCTTTTGCTCGAGTATGTCAGAAATATGTTTCCGGTATGATAATATACCGGGGGACAATAAATACTCGTTTGAATTAGAAACAACACACTGAGCGCTTTGTAATAGGCGGCAAATGAGTATTCACGCAATTACGCTCGCGATACCGCCCATCGATCGCCCTTCATCGTCGAGCTTAAACAATTTCTTTTGCACGCTTACGGACATGGGTAGTTTGATTGGTAGCAAGCATTTTATTCTGGATACATATCTTTCGTTTTTCTCTCCGCTCTTCTCACCGTCTCGTCGCTGCAAGGCCACATGCGCTTCTCATCATTCACGCATCTTTTCATTTCATTATAGATACCACGCACCGTATTATTTTCTTATTATTAGCTCACTGTACATTATTATTTATATATATATATATATATATATACATCATGATTGTTATGTATTTTCGTTTACCTTAAGGTGATGGATGTAATATAGGCACTGCATGTAATTAAGGAATGTTAATACAACACACATTTGCTGTAATACTTCATATATACATATATATATATGTATAATTAAAGGATTCTTACATTAATATCCTGTCCCTTTATTCCCTGTCGTTAATTGTTTAATTGTAATAGTTATGTATCGTACTATCATAGCGAGATGTCAATAATAAATAGTCATGTCGGCGTAAATAATGACCTCTAAAGAAGTATGCGATATTCCGCCCGTTAATGTCCCATAAACATAATACTCACCTCGATATTACAGTTTTGTAACGTAACAACGTGTCGATAGAGCTAAAACAATTCCACCGGGAGGAGTTCGTAGCGAGGATCGTCGGAAAGATTTGCTGTCCTTATGCGAACGATCGTTAATGACTCGCGCATAATCTCAAGGAAAGAACTAAAATCGGCGAACTCCGAGGTGTGCTGCTCTCTGTTTTAACTTCCGTTCCAGTTTACTTAATAAAGAAAAGGACGAATTGCCAAACTAATATTTACCACATTTATCGCTCACAAGACGAGTAGTCGGCAGTAACAATGACGCATTTCTCATCCCGACTGTAGAACGCAAGCGCACAGATTTAATAATCACACGAACCGCTTGAATACGTCGCGAGTATGTGCCAGGGCATGTTCTCAAGGCGATTGTTATCCTCGTAGGAGATCTGCGATGAAGAGGCACAGGCCGACGACGACGAGTCGACGGAAAGAGACAATGCTACTCTAGACGAAGCGCCTTCGATTCATTCCTCGGAAGGCGGTCCGCCGTCCTTGGCTGACGTCTCCCTACAGACAGGTCAAAGTTTACTGATCGACGACGTGGTCGAGAAGAAAGTGTCGCAGCTGACGAAACAGACGTCCACGACGCAGATGCCGTCGACGACGACGTGCCACTCGTTGACGACGCAGACGACGCAGGCTCCGCTGCCGAGCGAGAGCGCTCAGAAACAGGAGGCCATAAAGGTCCTGAAAACCACCAAGGGCGATCACGACGTGATCGAGATAGCGACGAAGTACGTGCCGCCGAGTTCCGCCGAGGAGGTGGCGCACCGGGAGCAAACGAGCGTTCTGCCCGGCGAGGACATCGTCGTCGACATGAAGTACCAGGACGCGAAGAAGACCGACAGCGCGACGAGCGAGCTGAATATCGTCCACGCGGCGCCGCAATCCTTCGAGACGGTCCTGGTCGAGCCGGACGACGTCACCACCGAGGTGGTCGTCGATGCCGACGGCACCAAGAGGATCATCGTGAGGAAACTGCGACGCACTACGGTCACCAGCAGGCAAACCACTCAGCAACGCGTGTCGACGCTGTCGACAGCGCTCGGGGACGCGCCGCCGATGATGCAGGCGTTCTCGGAGGCCGCGATGAGGGATCAGCAGGTGACCGTGACCAAGACCAGGCCGGACGGCACCATCGAGACCACTACTAGGCAGATTTACGGCGGCAGAGTCACCACGGCCGCGCCCACCGAAGGGATCAACGTGGAGGAGTACGAGTCGGAGCCGCGCTACACGCACATGGTTACGCAAGGTCAGATCGGAGACATCAGATGTCAAAGCCCGGTCGAGGAGGAGATCCTGATGGAGGGCGGTGAATACCAGACGAGGACGTCAAGCGTTCACGCCGTGGTGCAGCAGGTCACCAGGCGAGTAATCAAGAGGACGCGCAGGATCATTCGGAAGGTCACCATCATAGACGGCAAAGAGACCACCACCGAGGAGGTGATCGAGGAGCCCGAGGAGGTGGAGATCGACGAGCAGGACATACCGCATATCAGTATCAACGTGGTGAAGAGCGAAGATCAGAAGACTATAGTCCCAAGGGAGAGGTCGATCGAGAGTAAGGAGGAACAGAGTGAAGCGACGAGACCCGAGATACCGACGGAACCTTGCGCTCCCGGTAGTCCGATGCAGGGACCGTTCTTCGGGCCGTTCGCTAAGGACATGGTGACCACGCATCGAATCGCAACCGAGAAGACGAAAACACCAACGATGATCATGACGAAAGGCGACGATGTCGTGGGAGTCGAAACGCTGAATATCGAGAATCAAACGAAGGAAAGCGCGGCATTGCGGAAATCTACGGTAGAATCAGCGGACTCGAAGGCAGAAGCGACGGATACCAAGGTAGAGTCGCCGGAGTCTGCAGGAGGAGAAACGTCTCCGAAAGTAGTAGAAGTGTCGCGAGCCGAGAGTCCGCTTACCGTTCAGGCCGACGAGGGTGCTTCCCTAGCACGAGAAGATGAAAGCGCATCGCCGAGAAAAACAGAGGCAACGGGGAAACGCGAATACGAGTTCCCCATCGAGGTAAATGGCGTAGGTACACCCACGGTCGCTAGTCAAGCGCTGATCGATGCTGAACGGATGTCCGACGTTTTGCAGACCCCCGCCGAAGGCGACTCGGTTAGCTCGACACAAGCGGAATCTATAAAATCCCCGTTAGAGCCGGCCGTAACGGATGACGAACCGGTGGTCACCAAGGCTACTTGTAAGTCTGACGATGCACAAGTAAAGAGCGAAACACCCAGTATCGAGCTAGAGAATGGCACGGTAGAAGTAGAAACGCACCATGACGATAGCAGCACCATCATAGAGGCCGGTAAAGATGTCGATGTATTGACTATCGTTGTGTTAGAGGAAGAGATTGGGGGGAAGGATAAGCCGGAAATGTCAGAGAAAGACGCACTGTACGAACCGGCCGAGAGCAAAGAGGAAGACACGATCGTGACGACGGCACCTCAAAGATCGGAGCCGCAGGATGAATCTACCGTTCCGCCGAGTCGACCGGATACCGTTGAGCCCGATGAATCCGTAGAGAGAACTGTCTCGAGAACAAAGGACATGGGAACACCTCTGAGAGAACCGGAAGTATCGTCGGAATTGTTCATAGGGCAAGAGGAGGACGATTCTAAGGACGAAGCATTCAAGCCGGAGTACAAGCCGGTATTCCACAAGGTCGAGATATCCCTGTCGGTGCGCAAGGAGGACGAAGAGGCGGAGCCTTTGGTGTCCGTCAAAACTCGGGCGGAGAGGCCGGAGATTGCCCCGTATCGCATCGTCAAGGAAGACGTGGACATCAGCCTTCCAGCGGACACGGAGAGGACAGAGGTGATACACGACAAGATCGTGCAGACCAGCGCCTTTCTCACAGCCGAAAAGGAAACGGAGACTTCGCGGCGACACTCGGTGTCGACCGGCGAGAAGGAGATCGACGTTCGCATCGAATCGTCGGAGAAGAGCAAGTCGGACACCGCGAGCCACAAGAGCCGGAAAAAGAAACGGCACAAGAGCAAGCCGGAAGAGAAGCTCTCGGAGAGGCCTGTGGAGACGGAATCCAGCACCTCGATCGCTACGTCGGTCGCCGAGTCCATGGAGATCAGCATCCCCTCGTCCGGCTCGTCCAAGCACGCTAGCGAGCAGCCGCAGCCGGACGTTGCTGAGATCATGAGGTCCGTCGCCGAATCGTCCCTGAGCTTGGACGATCGCGTCGTACCGGAAGACAACGGGTACCAGCCGGACGATAAAACGATGGACGAGTCGTCGGTCGCGCCGGAGGACGAGGACGGCGCGAAGAAGAAGCGGAAGAGGAAGAAGAAGCAGAGGCAAAAGGTGCGCTTAACTCGAGACGATGAGCTGACTCAGGTGCCCAAATCCAGCAGTGACGATGCCGCGTTCACGGACGACAGTCTTCCCCTGGAGGTCCCCAAGTTGGAGAAAATGACCGAGGAAGATAAGACGGAGGAAGACGCCGCGATAGAGGGTGATGTCGAAACGGTGGAAGAGGATAAGACGGAGGAGGTTGAAATCGAGGCGAGCCCGCGGGAGGAGAGTATCGTCGTGCGCAAAGTTGCGCTGGACGACGCGGATACTCAAACCAGCGTGGAGACGCGCGATGCGTCAACCGCGCTCACCCCGAAAGCCGAGGAGGAGAGCCTCTCCGCATTCGCGCAAACGTCTCCCGAGCCGGTGCCGCTGACTCTCGAAGAGGAGATTCAGACGGCCAGAACCGAGGAGGCTCATATCGAGACGCAAACGACCCTGGAAGCCGGCCTCGACTTCAGCGCGCAGACCGTCGCGGAGGAGACGCCGGAGGTCGAAGATTCCGGCGTGCAGACCGCGACGCCCACGGCGACGCTGATGGAGGAACTCGCGGTGCAGACCAGCCCGGTCGAAGACGCCCCGCCTCTCGCGAAGGAGACAGAAGACTCCCAGGCGCAGACAGTCGAAATCGACATCCTCTCCACGGAAATGCAGACCTCGCCCGTCGAAATGGTTCCCATGATAGCGACCGAGACTCAAACGGCGACGAACGCCGTGACGGAAGTTGAGCAGCAAACCACGCCGTCACCGGTGGAGGAGGAAGTCGCGCTGCAGGAGACCGGCGTGCAAACGTCGACTCCCGAAGTACCGGAGTCTCTGGAGAAGGACATGCAGACGAGCCTGCCGTCCAGTCCGGAGCAGCCGGACGTCTCGCACATGGACACTCAGACGATCGCAGTTCCGGAGGCGCCGGCCGAAACTACGGAGACTCAGACGACGCCCGAGGAGAGCCCCCGGCAGGTGGAGCTGCAGGAGACCGAGATGCAAACGAAATCGCCTGAACCGACCATGGAGACGACGATGCAGACGAGCCCGGTGACCGTCAGCCCGGAGTCCACGCAGGTGTGCGAGGAATCCGCGCAAACCAGCATCGAAGAGGCGAGGCGGACCACGGAGGAAGAGTCGCAGACCAGTTCGCCGGAGAAAACTCAGACCCTCGATAGTTCGGTGCAGATCGAGACGGTGGAGTTGATACCGCAGGTCGAGGAAAGCGTGCAGAGTATCCCCGAGACGTGCGAGATCAGCGCGCAGACGTCGCCGAAGGTAGAGGAACGAACGATCGAGACAGCGTCAGTGTCTCAGCAGACGGCGGAGGTATCGACGCACACCGTCGAGGTATCCACCGAGGATCTCGAGGCAGAGACGGCCGAAGTGGTAGAGGTCCCGGATGCGACCATCGTGATGGAGCCAGTCCCCTCGCAGGAGGCGGAGAAGGAAGAAGTGGTGTCTACGAAATTATTCGAAACTCCAGCAGCACCTGATGTACAAGTACCAGAAACTGCAAGGCTCGTAGAGGAGGTGGAAGAAGCGGAAGCTGCGGGCGACGAGCCGGTCCCGCCGACGACGACCGTTGGTCTCCCGGCGGAGGTTCCGGAAAGCGCCGAAGAAACTGCGAGGACCCTAGAGGAGGTGGAAGAAGCGGAAGTTGCGACTGACGAGCCGGAATCGGTCCAGCCGACGACGACCGCTGGTCTACCCACGGAGGTTCCGGAGAGCGCCGGAGAAACGGAAGCGCCCGTCGAGGAGGAGACGGGAGACCGACTTCCTGAATTATCCTCAGCGAGAGATAGTCCGAAGCCAGCGGAGGCTGGCGCGAGGGCGAAGGGATCTACGGCGTCCTCGATATCGGAAAAGGACTCTACCCCGGAGACGTCGTTCGAGATCCACGTTCAGGCAACCATAGAACTATTCGCCAGCGACACCCTCGACAGCGCTGCGTCCGGCAGTAAAGAATCGCCCGATACCTCCCGGGAGACCACGATCACCGAGGATCTCAACAACGACGCGGGAGTTACGGAGCAGGATGGTAAGGTGAAGCGGCAGAGGAGGAAAAGGAAGCACAAGACCATGGAGATCAGTCTGCCGAGCAAGTCCGAGCTGGACTCCATATTCGGGCAGGCCCAGATCGAGACCCAAGATACCACTTTGAAGCTCTCCTACAGCGACGTTGCCAAGAAGAACGCCGGCAGGCGAAGGTCCCCGGTAGGAGACGTTCTGGACGACATCTTGGACGACGTGACGTCCGAGCATGCCTCTAAGACGGCGCCCCAGCCTGGGGCGGACTCGAAGTCGCGGTATACCGCGTCGAGAACTGTGATAGAGAGCACGAAGAGAGATGAGGAAGGCATTCAAAGCACACCAGATGTTTCAACTACCTCGATAACAGTACCTACATCGACGATCGATCAGTTCGCGATCGACTCGAGTCGCAACATTCCAGAAGCAGAAGTACCTGAAGTGCGAATGCCTTTCGTGCTTGGTAGAGCACCGGCGATAGAGCCGTTGCTGATACCGGACCAGCAGAAATTGCCGGAAGCGGCGCTTGCGCGATCATCGCCCGAGCCGATGGACACCACCGAAGAACCGTTGACGCCCGTGGAAGTCGAGCAACCTATCCTGAGTAAGAATCAAGCCGCCAAACCGTCGCGGACGGAGATTAAGACCTACGCTGAGGTGATATCCGAGTCGCTCAAGCAATCCGCGCCACCTAGCCTGACCGGCGTCGAAAGATATGAGGAGTCGCAATTGTGGAAAGAATCCTCGCCTCACGCATTGTCCGCGACCTTCCTTCTGAAGGAGTCTATGGAGTACGGCGTGAAGCCGCAACACCAGGCGGCGCAAACGATACAAGCCACTAGACTGATCAACGATCGGGTGAAAAGTCTGCAGAACGCCAACGAGTCGGGTCACCTGGCCAACATCCTGCACATCGCGCATCTGGAGGAGGTCACTACGGAGAGGCTCGCGGAGGAACGCTCGTCGGACGTTCGCAGGGAGTTGGCGCACTTGAGGAACGCCATCGAAGAGAACGACGTGGTGGTCGTCGAAGAGACACTCGTCACCGTCGTCGAGACGATCTCGACCTGGCTGGAGACCATCGAGTATCGAATCTTGCTGAACAGAAATTGCCCGAGCGGGCCTTCGCACGAAGACGCCAGGACGTTCGTCGAGCTGAAGGACGAAGTGAACCACGTGAAGGAAAGTATCCGTGAACTCGACAATATCTGGGAGCAAGTGGAGCCGAGCTACCCGGAGGAGGAGAGGGAGAGATTGCAGGAATGCGTGGACGCTCTCGAGCATCAGGTGAAGATCATCGAGCACGTCACCGCCGACGGGGAGAAGTACGCGAGCAGCCAGCTCGCGAGATGGGACGACTTCCTCAATGGCGTGAACAATGTGTACAGGTAAGATATCGTGCGAAAGTATCGATAAGCAATGTATTTCCCAGTAAGCAAGAAACGTTAAATCAATCTTTTAAAACTCTGATCTTATAAACGTTTCGATGTAATATTTTATAAATGTCTTGAAACTGTTACTTGATAATATTATATTTTTTTAATATTAAAATTATGGTGTAGAAACATGATTTTTAATGCTTCCGTCAAATATTGTCAACAATAACGTAGCATACAACATTAAGAACTACGTATTTGAAAACGTTACATGTTATAAAATATCGTTATAGTAACGTTGTGTTAATGATTTCTTGTTTACTGAGTTGACATGACTCTTCCGAAATAATATAATAATTTTGTCGTTATTAATTTTTTCCACGTAAGTATTCAATTGTTTATTAAAATAATTTTACAATTATTTAAAAATTATGTCACTATTTTTATTTATTTAATTATTCCTTTTATGAATTTTTATGCCATGTTCTCGATCTTAAATTATTCCTTTTATGAATTTTTATGCCATGTTCTCGATCTTAAACTCATCTACTGCATCTCAGAAATTTACTTGTCATTTACAATCTTTCTTTAATCGTGTACACTAAAGGGTCCTTCCCGTTAATAAAAATTACTATTATTATTACTGCAGGTTGGTCGAGGAGCAACGAAAGCAGCTAGATTACATAGTCGAAAGCGAATATTCCACACAGTGGAAGCTGCAGGAACTGGACAAGTTTGAGAACACGAATCGCTGTCACATGTGGAAGACGAACAAGCTTCTATGCGCCGCACGCGAGTTGCTTCGGGATCATCCCGGCAAGATTATACCCGAGGAAACGTACGCCGCCCACGAGATAACTAAGATCATCGAGCACGGCATATGCGTCGAACGGGAGCGTCTTCTTCAATTGCTCGCCTTGGCCGAGGAGTATGAGCAGACGCTTCAGGAATTCTCGCAGATTACCGAGATCGCGGAGAACCTACTGGACAGCCCGATCTCCGTGATGAGTCTGGAGCACCTTCAGGAAGAGATGCAGAAACACCGCAAGTTCTTCGTCAACCTGAACCACTGTCTAGCGATCCTCGAGTCGCTGGAGGGCAACCTGGACCCGGAAACGAGAGCCAAACATTCCGACCTGCACGAGAAGCTTCACGGCAGAGCGACGGCATTGCTCGATCAGGCAGCTTCAAGGGCGCAACAAATGGCATTGGCCGCGTCGCGATGGATGCTCCTGGAACAGGGCCTGAAGGAGGAGAGAGGCTGGCTCCAGGTTGCGCATCAACGCGTTCCCGATCTCCAAACGGTGACCTCGATCGACTACGATCAGTACATCTCCTTATATCAGGTTGGCGATTACAACAACCCTATTAATGTTCGCGGATATTTAATGCAGGCATGGGAACGGTTTAACTCTCGAAAATAGAAAAAAAGTGAGTTTCATCCTTTATGCTATTTAAACTGACGCGCAGCTTCAAAAGAAGTGAGTAAAATGTGAGTCCTTTCGAAATTTTTACGTTAAAACTTTAATTGTTTATTTATTATACCGTTCCTCTAAAAGATTAAAAACACTAAATTTATAGTAAAAGTCAATGAAGAGCGGAATTCGAATTTTGGAAAACAAATTGTGACATGGCGGCATAGAACCTAAAATTTACTTTAAACTCAGTATTAGATGCATATTCAGATGTAGTAAAATTCTTAAAAAAAAAATTGAGTTGTGATTTTTCACACACATTTAATGAAATAAAACAATACTTGAGTTCAATTATGCTGCAATTTCTAAGATGTTCGGATTACCAGATCTTATCGTAAAAAACAAATTTTAGAAATAAAAAAAAAACATTTACAAATTACAGGTCTTTCTATTGAAAACAAATTAATTAATCAACTTCTTAAGAATAATATTCCAAAAATATTATATATAATATTCAATAATATCTAATTTAAAGAAAACTCAGGTGTGCTCCTGACAGACATTATCTGTTTTCTTAGTTTCGTTTTGATTTGGTGAAAGAATAAGAATTATGGATAGACAAATATGGACAATCGATTTCAGTACATAATTTAAAGGAAACACAATCAGGTGTGCTCATGGCGGACTGTTTTTCTGATAAACTTGATAAATAGCTTAAAAATGAAATCACAATTCTGCATTTTATGAACATTGTGTCGTCAGAGTCATTGTTATTTTCTATTTTCATTGAACCTTTCGTTTTGTCTTTAAAGAAGCTAATTATTGAAAATGATTTTTTACGATCGATTTTTTTTTTGAAAAGCTTAAGTCAATGTAAGCAAAAAACGCGAGAAAAATGAATATTTTTCTTAAAAGTGGAAACAAGTGAATCGCTTCCTTGCCTACTTATGAATCGTGATACGCCGTTAAGTTAAATTGTACATATATTATAATTTTATTAATTCGTCAACTCGTCATGCTTCAGTCCCTGTCATCGGACGTAGCGACGCACCACGCACGACTGATTCAACTGCTCGACGTGGCGCGAGGCCTCCGCGACCTCGTAAACATCGAGGACCCCGAGGACCGATACGGCGAGGCCCTGGATGTGATAGTGAAGCTGCAAGAGAACATTGAATCCTCTCTCAGGAGACTGCTGGTCTTCAAGGACAGTTGGAACAATCAGGAAACGCTGACCGATCGTCTGGAAAAGTGGATGACGATAGCCGAGAAGGAGCTTGCCGTGTTGCGCGACCCATCAGGGAGCTCCATGCGCCAGTTTTGGGTAAGGGATCTCACCCGACTCTCATCCGGGGTCTTCTAGATATAGTGTATTTATAACTTGATAATTCGGTAAAAGTGTTCGTCTATGGGCTATATTCGCGCATGCATTTGGGTCACGTTTTTCCAACGTCGCATTTGGCCACGTGCCACCGCAGGCACATGTCTCCTTCATCGTCAGCCGTATTTTTGGCACGATCAAGAGCGGAAGACGAGCGTGTTACGTGATGTCGGATTATTTCGCCGTAGCCGCCTTTTTTTCTCGCCCTCCAAGAATCTCAATCTATGAATTTCAACGTGTAGTAACGGTCGAAAAAAGGAAAGAAGCGGGCGGATAAAGGATATGGACGAAGGATACAGTTCTATTAAGGGTCCGGTTCGATTCTGGGAGTCGATCGTGTATTTCAAAACGAAGTTAATTACAAAAGCGAACGAATTTACTAGAATATTTATAATTTCATTAGTCAACACCTGAATTTGCCCTCACTCTTGTAATTCTCACTTCGTTCTGAAATACGCGATCGATCCCCTTGAATTGATTTTTTAGATAATCGATTTTTTCCTCACAACAATCGATTCTTTTCTATTCGAACGTCTGTAGAAGAAGAATGTTCGATTCTAAATCGATTTGTTCAGAAAATCAATTTTTTTCTAAAAGAAATCAGTTTTATCACATCGATTCTCTTCTATACGAACATCCTTAAATCCTCCATGGCTCCTGTTTCGCTCGCAGGAATTGAAGGCGCAGTACGAAGTTCACAACAACATGCGCAACGAAGCGTATAACCACTTCGAGCAAGCCCTACGAGTGATCCCCTTGGCGGACGAAATGCTGCAGCGACAGTTCCGAGGCGAGCTGCACAATCGTTGGAAGGAGGTGAGCAAGAAGATCACCGAAATCCAGAAGGACGTCACTCGCAGCATCTCGTCGGAGGAGATCTCGTCGAACGAGAAGCTGAAACTGCTCGAGAAAGAGCTGAACGAATTACGGATGACGATCAACAGCTTCCACGGGGTATTGAAGACGGAGGAGGAGCTCGACTTGTACGTCGAGAGGCTCACCGTGCTGTTCGACAGGATCTTCCTGATCCAGGACGAGATAGGTCGGCTGGGTCTCCTGCCGGCGGCTGAGAGCGAGAGAGTCGGGATCCTGCTGTCGTCGGCGCGTTGCATAGAGAGTCTGATCGGCGAGGAACTGGACTCGGCGCAGTTGCTCCGAGAGAGGATGCAGTGCCTCCAACGTGGACTGAGTCGCTTCAGGAAGGCTCACAAGAGACTGTCGGCGACGCTGGATCAATGCGAGGGGAGCGAACGGCAAGGGAGCGACCTGGTGGCCGCGGCGGTAGATCGCTGTCAAACGGTCGCGGACGAGTTGGCGCTTCTCTGGCAGGATCTAATGGCGCTGAGACAAATGCTGCACAACTTGCCAACCGGCATGAGGGTGACGGTGTCGCCGGTGGGCATCGAAAGGGACCTGTCCAACGTGCAGGACACGCACACCGAGCTGGAGTCGAGATGCGCTCGTCTGCTCTCGTTGCTGCACAACAAGCTGGCGATGTGGCGGCGATTCGAGAGGCAGCTCGAGATGGTGCAACAGTCCGTCCAGGAGGCGGACTACATGATGGAACTGTTGACCGTCCAGGACACCGTTGATTACGACAGATTGCTCAAGGCCACCGAGCGACTTGAGGTGAGTTATTCCCCCCCCCCCTCTCGTTCACCATCTTACACGAAAAAGTAGAGCGATGATACGCTCAAGAAGTGCCGACGAGCGAGCGAAAGACTACCGGCGACTGTAATTAGTCGCACAACATAGTTGCAGCGCCGCATGAATCGAGTCGGACGAGAAAAACGCGATACGGTGAATTACAATTTCGGGAATGCCGAAAGAGAGAGAGAGAGAGAGAGAGAGAAAGAAAGAAAGTGAAAGAAAGAGAGAGACTTTCCGCGCGAAACTTATGAATAGTCAATCAAGGCGCGTCTGTTCGTCGCGTCATTGATCAAAACTCGATACAAATGATCACAACAAAGCGATCTTATCAACGATATATGGATATCCGTACACACGTGTTACGCGAGACGCGCCGCATCCCGGCAGGCCGCGCAGGCGTCGCGGCTCCGCGCTCGTTCAGACTTTAGAGCCGCGTTATCGCCGACTGCCGCGGCGCCTATCAGTACCGCGGGATCCGTGGTCGCGTTTACGTCGTCGCCGGGAATATCCGCGAACTGCGTGCGATATCTCTCCTCTCTCTCTCTTTCTCCGTCTTTTTTTCTTCTTTTCGAAACGCTCACGCCGCGCGTCTCGATGAGTATTATCTCTCCGATAAATGCGAGTCACCCGCAAGTAGATCGAATGTGGCCTCGCGACTCTTCACGGACCGGCGTGACCCTCCGACGCTGGAATTCCACGACGAGGACGAAGCAGAATAAATAGCCTCAAGGTAACATCGCGTCGTCTTCCTGAATGGCGCGCCGGCGGTTTCCGCTCCACCACGCGGGTCGAATTGCGTCTCGCGGGGCCGCGGAAGAATATTTCCGAACGTCCGGAGTCGCGTCCCCGCGGAAAATTCCGTGACGTCTTAGCCGGATCGCCGGCTGAACACCGTGTTTCCGAACGATGACTAAGTCTCGACGGTGACGGGTCAGTGACGGCGAAAGAACGGCTGAGCGCACAGTGACAAGTCGGCGGCGAATCGGTATTTGTTATTGTTGTTCGAAGCGATCGGACGTCGCGCGGATCGCACGCTCGATAGATCGATCGACGGGATTCCTCTTTGTTTTTTCTCTCACTGAACGCTCCACCGCCGCAAAACAAACGCGTCCGCGGCCCGACATCCGCGAAAGGAAACCGGATGTACACGCGGGACCTGCGAGGCATGAACCAAGCCGCCCGCTGTCTTTCTTCGCGTGCGTTGCGCCGCGTTGTGCGTTTAAGTACGAAAGTGTCGGGAACCGGGAAAGCTGAGCTACGGAAGTTCGCCTGCGAGAACGCTCATTTTATCGGACGACGTTTCACCTTTTCACACGGAAAGAAGAATCTCGCCGGAGATACAATTCCGTTGGTGTAACTGAATTTTCCACCGCCCGGGGATCAGACAAAATACTCGGTTGGAGAAACAGAAGAATTCCTGTAGGAGGTTCCTACTTGGGCTAAGTTCGTCTTGCACGCTTTCGTGCTGAAAGCGTCGTTCTATCTTTGTTTCTTATGTGCTGAAGAAAGACGGAACGATGCTTTCACAGCACGAAAGCGTGCAAGATGAGCTTGGCGGCCTCAGTCAATTGCTCTCAGTTGTTTCGAACGAGTTTCAATGCAGCTGAGTATTCGCAGACAGGAAGAAAAAATGTAGTTCCTACAGGAACAGGGACCGGATGGAAACTTGACGACAAGATATGAAAATTCGGTGACAAGATATGAACACTCGGCGGCGAGAAATGACATCTCCATTACCGCGACTGAAGAACATTTGTGTGCGAACATTCAGCTGTGTTAAAACTCGATAGAGACGACTGAGAATAATTGGCTGAATAGAAACCTCTTACAGGAATTTCTTTATCCCGAATCTTCGTCAGACCTCACGCAGCGCAAAATTCAGTTGCACCAACGACATTGTTTCCCCCGTGTGCGAATATTCTCAGTCATGGTAACAGAGATATTATTTCTTGCCGTCGAGTTTTAATCGGATTCTCATCCAATTACGGGAATTGATTTTTTTTTCCCGCGTATAACTTAATTTCCCGCCGCCTGAGAACCAGACGAAAACTCGGTTGTAGAAGCAAGAGGATTTATGCAAGACGTTCGCTACTCACTCAATAAACGCTAACAGTAACATTACATAAATGTTACAATTTCTCGGTCAACAACGTGCAATATAACAGTGCATATAACATCACATGCGTCACATTGTTGAGCGAGAAATCATAACATTGACATAATGTTACTATTGATGTTTACCGTACAGTCAGCTACTTTCAGTTTTCTCGAGCAAGCTTCAATGCAGCTGAGTGCTCACACAAACGTTCTCAGCCGCGGCAACCGAGATATCTTCATTTCCTGTCACCGAGTTCTTATCTGGTTCCCTATTCAGTTGCGGGAACTGAGATTTTTCCTGTGTAAAAGTTGCCGTATCCGCACTGTTCTCGCGATACGCCTCGCAATCACCCTTTGCTTTTCCCTTCGCAACGCGCGCAATCGTTTTTCCCGTGGCTACCGTGAAGCCCGGATCAGCGCTCGTGATATTCAGCGCCGATGAAGTAGCGCGGCAAACATCTCGCGCATCGTCGACTCGCCGACACCGCGCGCACAAGATCGTCATTAATATTTCTGTCCGAGGGCGGCCGGCTGTTTTCTCCGCGAACGTGCGAATGTGCGTGCGAGAACGATTTCGCAAGGATTTCTTTCCGCCGGTATCGTCGCGCCTCGATCCGTTCGCCATCCGGTAAGACCCGTCGCGGCGGGGCTTCGCGCCGAGACATATGAAGCAAATCTATGCACCGTTACTCGTCGATGCGTATTAAATCAGCATAGATTGCGTCAGGCGTGAGGTAGGTGCAAGCAACAGGTCGCTTATAACGAGACAGTGTACGTAAAGCGAAGAGCCCGCGCCGATGCGACGCACACACGACGTCTACCAGCTCCCCGTCGCTCGTGGTCGGCCGAGATAAACGCGATTAAATCAAACAACCGTACACAATTATTATTATTACTGCCATTTTCCCAACCTCGACCGTGAAATTACGATCGCGGCGCGGCTGTAATCAATTGTAATGATATACACAGAAAAATACTGCATTCGAGTGAACGTCGTTTGTTTCAAATATTCCATAAGTTTATACGCCCGAAAATATCTACGAGTTCCTCGCGAGCGTCAGATTTATTCAAAATATATTCTGAATCCTGGCAAGCTTAATTTTCGATCGAGAATATTAAGTAAAAACAGATTCTGGTTTGCTTATTCAAATTAACTGAATTTAACTTTCCTTTGATAAAGTTTATGCACGGAATAAATGTTGCGTTCTAGTAAATAATTGTAAATATCATTTGATCCAATATTTAATTAATGATAAAAATTTGCGAAGGAGTATTGGAGGAAAATTATTTATTCGTGAAATTTGCGTTGAGTATATTTTAAAACTGTCATCGAGAAAATATTATCCGCCGAAGGAGGGAAAGTAAGCTGCTGAGCAATCGCTTTTCTTAGCAGCGTTTTTCTCTGCGTACGTTTGCATAATAGCGCAGGCGCGATAATAAATACGCGGTGAGAAGCCGTAGGATCGAGCGGAATTAATTTCACGCCTAGCGTATGTAAAAATTGTCGCTTCGAGCAAAAGCGGCAGCGAATGTCGGAGCGATGGGAATGCGCCCGTTGTCGTAGACGCGCGGCGCGTTTGGAAATTCACGCTGAATGTGAGAAATGTAGCGCATGCACAACACAGTACATTAGCGTTAACGAACACTCGCTAATCCACTTGAGAAGTAATTACGTAGAATGACATAAACGACCGAAGCGGTGCGGCGAGGTGATACGGTATGTAAAGTGCGGCACGTGGAGAAGCACGCGTATAGCATAGTCGTGATTGGTCGAGCGTGTATTTACAATTTCCGCTCCTAGTGCCTGATATCGATTTATCCTCACGTCCCGTCCAAATTTGGAACGTTGCTGGAATGCTGAGATAAACCGCCTGTCAAACGAGACTAACGTGGTTTTACAAAAGATATGCGAGCGAAGTGCAATGTTGATCGTAACGTGGAACGCGGGTAGCTGCCGGTGATTAATTGCAAATGAGGTTTCCAGCAAAATTGACGAAGAATCCCTTCTAATCTGATAAGATCGAATAAAATCGTCTAAAATAAAAATCGGCATTCGGCGGTAAGTCAATTTCCGCGCTTACGCCTTTCGACGGGAAATTCGCGGTGTGAGGTGAACGAACTCGAGTACACGACACAGAATTAGTCCAACCACGTTCTGACCGAATTCACGCCGCAAGTCTCGAAACGTGCTAGTCTCGTGCCGCAAATTTATTTATAGCGCGTTTTAAGTAAAACCGGCGTGCCTGCTCTTTCTTTGAATTGTCTGGCGCGTAGTCGCCGGCGCGCGGGAGGTATGATTTCCGAGATCGTGATGTATCGACGCCAGATAATGATAGATCGGAAGAAATCGCAGCGTATCCTGAAGCGGACGGTGAGTACCGAGAGAATCGGAAATCAGTAGCACACGGGAATGATAACTCCGTTGGTGTAATTAAATTTTCCGTTCGCGGACCGGACGAGAACTTGATTGCACTGAGAGAAAAATATCTGACATTTGTAACAATAATTTATTGTAGCGAAGAAATTGTAGTTGGGACAATCATTTTTCTAATGTTACTACAGTGGTCAGTGATAATAATAATAATCTTACGTACATGTTGCTACTACTATTTTTGCGGTTAAAATAAAAAAAGATATTGCCGTCCCCGAAAATAACTATATTTTTCTCTCAGTGACTGTGCATATTACTTGTGGTTGAAACTATAAGAAGGATATAGTTGGGGGCCGAAAATAACTATAATTTCTCTCGGTAGGAACCGAAAGATTCCTATCAGATTTCTACTCGGTCAATTGTGCTCTCAGTTGTCTCGACCGAGTTTTAATGCAGCTGAATATCCACACGAATGTTGTCAGTCGCGGCATTTAACGGAGTTATCATTTCTTCTCAGGTATCATTATTGTTGGATATAATTCCTTTGTCTTCCGAGTTGTCATCATCTGATCCCTATTCACTCGCGGGAACTGCATTTTTCACCGTGCAAGAGTGCACTTTGCGACTGATCTCCTCTGTAGAGCACTTAATCGATACGCATGCGTCTCGACGAAAATATTATTCGCCGCAAAATGCGAGAGAAAAATTTAACAGGCAATACTCGCGAAAGTACAACCTTTCGTATATTTTCAACCGCAGGGCCTGAGCGGCGATTTGGGTGCCCGTGAGGTTCTCATTGGCGAACTACGTGCCGCCGCCGAGCCTTTGCGGGAGAGTTGCGCCGCAGAGGTCCGCGAGAAGGTCGACGCCGCGGTAAATGAGGCTGTACAGGCTTGGGAAGACACAAAGGCCGAATTGGACGCCCTTTGCACCCGATATCAGCGCGCCTGCAATCTCTGGCAACAGTACAGGGACTCGAGCGCCGCGGTGAAAGCCTGGGTGGACACCCAGATGAACACCGTGGTGAACCTACCACCGGAGGAAGCAGCCAAACAGATCAAGGTAGGTGTTCAAAATTCAATACAAATTGCCTTCATGATTAGCATAAATCACAAATCAAGCCTCTCCATCCTGAAAGCAGTTCGGTTTCGAAAATATTGGCCGTTCACTATTACGCTACTCTCGATCGCGGAAGTGGAAGACACGTGAGAGGATGCGCTAACGACCGATAAGTGGCGGGCAAATAGATTTCTCTCGAACGGCATCCTCTCGCGAGAATAGCGGGTCTACGCGGCAAACAGCGTTAATTTGCAAAATAAATAACTGGATCGCAAGATGGTCGTGCGAAACCCGTCTCGAAATTGGTGTCTCATGCCAGAACTCCTCAGGTTTTTTTTTCGAAATACGAGTTAACAGGACCACGCGTATAACTGATAAAAAAAGAAACCATGCATACGAGAATTTTTCCTCGTGGAAGAAGATAACTGTGAACGCTTTCCTCCTATAACTAATGCGGGGCACAGGATGATAACGAAGTCAAGGCACGCCTGCGCGATAAGTTAGCGGTAAATGCTCGATAACCAAATGTATCGGTAAATAAAGTTACACTTGGGCCAACACGTCATCCTTCTGCGTTTTTACATAAAACCCGAGTCGCGATCTCAGACAATGCATGAATCGCACACGAGATAATAAGTCGAATAACTATTACACAGAGAAAAAAGTTTCTTTAGATTTAGTATTTTTATTTGACTAAGATTCGTTTCATAGAAACAATATATACGAAATATTATTTGTTTAAGTAAAAATTGTATTGTCTCATTCAACTCTATTACATAGCAGAATGAACGCTATTATTAGGTGTACAGACTAAATTGGTGCCTTTTTTTCATGAAATTCAAAGATTATTTGCAAAAAGTCAAGTACAAGTTTAATGTTCGAAATAATTTCCGTTATTTTCTTCGACTTTACTTCATCTATCGGATAGCTGATGAATGCATTCGCAGAAAGAACTTGGCGGTTTTGACTCAATAAAGTGATCAATGCTTTTTCGGATCTCGTCGACCGTTTTAAAATGCGTATCCGCCAGATGATATTAAAGAGACCAAAATAGATGCTAATCCGATAAGGCTAGATCTGGCGAATAAGCCGCATGAGGGAGAATTTCCCAGTCCAATGTACAAATGAGATTCTTTGTCTCTTTTGCAGCATATGACCGCGCGTTATCGTGCAGCAGAATCACTTACCTAGTTCCACTGTCGGTAAAAGATCTTTTTACAAGTTTTATGAGTCACACCACTTTTCACTCAAAGCGGAATAAATCATTTCGGTAGACTAAATAGCATTTTTACTCAATTCGAATGCAAAAAGGATGCAATGCCTCAGATGCTTCTTTTTGAACGTCGAAATAACTACTGTTTTCTGAGATTATATCGACAAGGCTGTCAACTATTATTGTGTTTTTACACGAGTGCTTCTTAAAACTTAAAGATTGACGCTTTTAAATTACCATAAGAACGGGGGAAAAATTTAAATTTGAACCAGAGTTACGGGACATTAAATGTAAAGGCATCGAGTTAATTTGCACACCTAATATTTGAAATAATATCTTTTAACCGAATAAAATATCATTTGGTTGCAATAAATATGTAAAATAAGACAAATAATTTCTTTATGAAAAAATTATCTTTCGTTTGAAACAAATTTTTTATTTAAAATAAAAACACATATTCGTTGGAAAGTCTAAGAATCGTACTCGTTAATCGAAACGTTAGTTCCTTTGGAGCATGCTTATGATAAAATTTCTTTGGGCGCAATAAAATTTATTAAATCTGAAGAAATCTTTTTCTCAACGTATCAAATATTCTTGTACAGTCGGTCCCGCTTGATTTCTCAGGCCGACGCGTAATCTCTTATCGGCGGACGAGCGATGTGCGACGTTGTAAAAAATATTGCGACATTTGTTGACATGAAAAATTCTCGCAACACTCATCGTCGACGCTGAAGAAAATACGCTTCCACGATAAATTTCTTTCATTTGTACACTCCTACATCCGCCGGCCGATATCGGAGCGAGAATTTTTTTCCCCTTCCCCCACGAGAGGACGGATGCACAACAGTCGAGTCAGACGCGCAACAGACGCGCTTTCATCCCTTGAATGGAGAAGCGGGTGATGTCATCGTCTCCTCGCGCTGTGTACGCGGGCGCGCATTACTGTCGCGGCAGCGTAACGGTGCACCGTCACACAGGCGAAGGGTCAAGCGAGAGGTCGACGCATCATCGTCGTCGGCACCCTTCGCTCGCAATATATCGTGCTTGCAATATATCGCGCTTGGAATATATCGCGCGCGCATACACAGGCGTGTCGCTCCGGCAAGGGTAGGTCGGCGAGAGAATACGGGGCAAGAGGGCGAGACGGACGCGCGCATCGATCCCTCGGAGAAGGCTACGCCAGTCTGGTCCAGGGCGTCGAAGCGTTTACAGCATCCGTGCTTTACGACTCGGGCTGCTTCTTTTTCAAACTGTCACCCGTCTCTCGCCGGAAGCGCGCGAGGCCTCGATATCGCTTCTCTCATCACGGATTTGAACAGTCGCGCGCCGTATCGGACTCGCGCAAAAGTACGAAGAACGCGAGTGTACGCTGGAGCTGACGATGCCTGCGCGTGTGTGTGTGTTTATGGACGTTCGCGCGTGTATATGTACGCGCATCGACGCGTCGGAGCATGTGTTTGGACGACGACGACAGACGACGGTGTAACGTCGCACGTGCACGTTCATTCGGAGCGGAGGTTCGCGAGCGCGTGGAAACATGAGCGACGATTCGAATTGAATCATGTGTACGCTGGAGAAATTGTTGAAGGTAAACCGCCGGACGGACGGACAGGGAAATGAGACGGGATCTATGAAAAGAACGTGACTATGCTCTCGCCGCTCTCAGCCTGGAGATTTACCATCGGCTGAAACAACGGGGACGGAAATAGCTTTGGTGCTCTGAAAAGCGCAACCGTGTCGTCTCGCGTAAATATTTTCCCCCTCGCGCGTTTTTATCACCGGGGCCTCGATATGTACACAAAGGAGCGAGAAACCGGGTCAAATTCGCGGAGTCCTCGCTCTCGTCTGCTTGGATTTTTGAAACTCGCTCCGGAAATCGATATTTTTCCGGTGAAACCGATAATATATCATGAATTTAAATTTTCAATGTTAACCTGTTGACCGAATTACGCGAGAGATTTATTTATTTGGAAAATTGTCGAGGGACAAAGCATAGAAGCTACTTTACATGACGACCTGTGATAATATAAATATACAATAGTATAGAAAAAGAATTAGTCTTAAGTCAAAAATAGGTATTCTCACGTATACTCAAGAATATTCTTTGATCTTATATAATAATTACAATCTTCTTGGAAGATTTTTAGTCTCGATTTGATTGAAAGTATTACTTGAACGCGATTCAAGATTAAAAATGTTCTAAGAATATTATAATATTCTTACTCATATATCAGAATATCCATTTAGATTTAAGATTCATTTTTTCTTTGTAAACAATGGCAAAATTTAGTCGATTATCGACCTCAAATTTTCACTATTCCAACAAATTACTTGATATTCGCTGAACGTGTGTATTCACGCTAAATACCTAACTGAATGAACTCGTTAAAAAAAAAACGAAACTGTTCTTTAAATCCGAGAAAGAACCGAGAGCGGAGCACCGTTCAAAGTGGACGTGAATGAAAGTGAGAATGCACGTTTTCGTTTCGCACTTTGCGAGGTCAATGAGGCGCGTACTATCCAAACCGACGAAACTGAAGGCGTTTCACAAAGGCGGATGTCAACGCTCGCAAAGGTCTTATCCCGATAACGTATGCATATCGCGAAACGCTCGCACATCTGTTTAGTCATCGACTAACCAAGTCGACCGGAAGGCAGAAAAAAATTCTTCTAGGCTTCTCCGAACGTCCGACTCTGATTTTACACGAGCAGAAAAAAGAAGGACGTTCCGTCGTTTTTCATTTCTCTTCTCTCCGCGTTTTATGTTGACGTAATACGAAGGACAAAGTCAAATACTGTGTCATAGCGAGAGACGTCGCGGTGATGGAGATCAAATCGATACGGATATCGCGTGAACGTGAACCACAACTACATTCCGCACTCTTCAAATAATGGAGTTACGAGTTCGAGTATTTAATTATCGGGACACAACGCCGCAACGGAGATGCGCATCGATCCCACCTGCATGCGACTCGGGGCGCGATAATTAGCCGGGCACTAATGAAGAAAATTTTACGATCACGCGAAAATGCATTTTTGCGAGCGAGGGAGGAAATAAATCGCACGAATTCCGTCTTACGAAACGCGTGGCGAAACAAAAGCAAGAGGAGAGGAGAGCATGTAAGATAGATTGTAAAGGGGATCCCAGAAAAAATGCAGGGGAGGATTTACATGATAAACTTTGTTTCCACGTAGAGGAGCGATACATGTCTATAAATACCGATAGAGAGGAATAAACGCAAGCTGTCCGTTTAGAAGACTCTAGACGCGTTCTAGATCTATCCCGTCTGACCGCATCTTCAACTAAAGAAATTTCTAAACATGACTTATAATAATTTCACGACAATCATGTGCAATATAATACAATACAATAGACGTTAGAAGCCAAATTTGCAGGTGACGGTCGATTAAATTTATTGAATTTTTATACAAAATTGCGAAACATCTCGACTTTACTTTAGGTCTACTTTAGTCGTGTAATATAAGAAACATTATAAATTATAACATGAATCCGGTCGACCTCCCGAGATCATACATTTGCATTGATAATGAACCAAATGATTCTTGACGGAAGGCTGTCCGGGGTTGAGCAATCATCACCTGCCCAAATTTGATTTCTAATTTGGCGTCTATTATATTACATGTGATTGTAATCTCTAGCGAGTTTTCTATTGTACAATTGAATTTTAGGATATTACTACAACCGAACACACACACGCATATAATACACACGGGACGTGCTCCGTTTAATTTTAACGACAGATTCTCTGATTAAAATTCGCCAGGGTGACAATTGAGAAAATTACCACGTAAAAACTTCATGACCGATTTAACAGGTTCTATTTTTTTTAAGTTCTTTCAAAAATAAAATAAAAAGACGCACAACCAGAGAAATGTTCTAAATTGCCGTTGCTTCGAATTTGTTTATAGACTTACGCAGAGTCAGTCTCGGAGTACAACAAGACGCTGATGTCAATACGCGAAATGGTAACACAGATCGCATCGGACGTGGGCCTGCACGAGGACAGCAGTGGATCGTTGCACACCGAGGTCAAGGAGCTCAGCCAACAATTCGAAAATGTCCGCGAATCCTTGAGTAATATCGCGAACGAGGTAGATGCCCGCCTCCACAACCAGGAAATCACGCACAGCCATCTTTGTCAGACGAAAAATTTCCTGGAGTCGGTCCAACAGGTACGTGAGCTTCTTCGCCCGCGTTTCCTCCCTGTGACTATGTGCCAGTCAAACGCGCCTTCCGTCTTCGTTTTAACGCGAAGCGCTCCAGAGTCATTAATGTTACGCGACGACGTGCGTCAGCCTAAGAAAGTCGTGGCTCATATATATTCCGATGCTCAGCATCGTGAACTTAAAGATGATTTTAAATACAAGATCCGTCTGTGAATACCGACGAATAGCGTAAAAACAAAAAAAAAGAACAGAAAGAAAGATATCTTGCAAAATTACTTGACGAAGGAAATGTATACGGGGCTGTTATCTCACACACGCCTACCGACGTCTGTCGGTGAACTTGTGTACGGAATACAGCTCCAGTTCCAGTTTTCGATTTTGCGCGAGAGATTTTGGAGATTAAGGTTCGTATTAATAGTCGTCACTTGAAACTCGTCTCGTATGAGATTAAATTTTACTCGGATTTTAATTAAAAATTAGATACGAATTTTTCAGTTGAATCGTATGATATATTTGACATTACGCGCTATTCGACTAAAAAAAACTCATCTAAATCTGAATTCAAGCTGAGTATCTCTGAGTGTCTCATCTGAGACAAGTTTTAAATAATAACTATTAATACGAGCCTAAGAAGCAAAAATAGCGGCTCTAATGATCAATCAATACGCGAGAAAAAAGAAAAACATCAACAGACAAATAAGAGTCGAACGCCGATGTTTAAGCGATATTAAGATACAAAACAATTTTCTTTCTAACTTTAATCTCACATCTGAAGACAGATGGAAAACTGATTTTGAAAGCACGGTAAGTAACAAAAAGCTCCAAAACCATTTTTCCAATTAATTGCTAAAGCTGATGGTTGAAACAAATATTCAGAGATGAGAAGATAACCGATGAATACCTGGAAGTGGACACGCAGGCTGAGGCGCACTAAACAATAACTATTGTTAGTGCTAAATTACCATTGTATTTACTAATTTCTGAAGACGGCCCAAAATAGAGTCCAAAACGTTCAATTTCATTTAATTTCGGTAATTTAATTTACTTTCTAATTTTGATTCCCATTTCTCTAGATGTGAAACTAAAATTACAAAAAAAGTAGTTTTATACATCGATCTCGCTTTAACATCGGCATTCGACCCTTATTTGCCTATTGATGTATTCCCTTCATCTTGCGTTTCGGAGATTAGTCAATACGAATATCGCGAGCTTTCTTCTCGAGATTGCATCCAACGGCGATTAGTCTGTTATCCTGGCGCTCGTACGTGCGAGGAAGCGGATTCAGGACCTTGGGACGAGGCCTTCCTCGAATTTCTCACCGAGTTAAAACATTTTTCAAGGATCGATGTACACGTAGAGCCGGTACTTCGAATGAAGGTGATCGTTAGGGTCTCGCCGAAGCTCAGTCTGACGTATTAACGCGTCCGTCAGTTCTCAAGCGGGGCGCGCACCATTGGTGCTTGGCACAGCCTCGATCATCGCTTCGCACGCGCGTTTATATTTTAATCGCGGTAGTTCCGAAACAATTTGTTATGTCAAGGCCGAAAGGCTTAAGCCGCCGGGGGTGGCAATTACATCAGTCACGAAATCCGCAACAGCTGAATGGCTCTGTGCACCGCCCGAGCCGTGCACAGAGCCGGAACTTTCGAACTTGAGGGCGCCGTGTTTCCCAACGGAATTTACGGCCGCACCGTCGTCAACGTCGATCGCAGATAAAGGCGATCCGATACTATCCCACTTCGCCAAAGAGGTTATAACTGCGTCGCTTCAAGGATTCTCGCGAGCCGTATCAGCTCTCTCTCTCTCCCTTAGAGTTATCGACGTTACCGGAAATTCGTGGAACCGTTCGCGCGCGCCAAATTGATTCATAAATGTTTTACCTCTCCCCGGCCGGAGTTTTTCCCGAGCTCCTGATAGCTACCTAGACCGCTAATCCGAAGGACCCGGCGCTGCTAATTTTCCAGAGTCTCACGACGGTGGGTCAAGGTGAGTCGAAGGAACGGCTGACGATATTGCGGAATCATCTCTTGACGCTCACACGAACCGAACCCAAGCTTCAGTCCATAAAGAAACACGAGTGCGAGGGGTCCGCGCAAGAACCGTCCGTGGTTGAGATATTGCAACTGTGGCAGCACGTGTTCCGGGAGACCTTTCAACAATATCATCATCTATCCCTGCGACTGATCCGTTCGCAGGATGTGGTCGCCACGTTTAAACTCTGGGAGGAGTACCTGACGAACGTGCAGGACTTCCTGTCCAGCGATATGCCTTTCGACTACAACGGGCTATCGGAGGATCGGAGTGTCTGCGAGATACACAAGGAAATCCTGCCGGAACAGCGGACCTTCATATTGTCTGTGCGGCAACGGGAGGACAAAGACCGAGCGATCGCCGAGCAGTTTAACACCCTAACGAAACTGCATAATGAGACGCTCGACAAGATACTCGAGCGGCTCGATAATGTCAGCAACAGGATAATGGCTTGGGACAGGTACAAGCAGAGCCAAGGCGAATTGTTGGCCTGGGTGAAGCAGATCGAGGAGGATCGACGGTCCTTGCACTTGCAGCATATTTATCTCAGGCGGCTGGACAAGAATCTACAGAGGATCCAAGAGCTGCTGGACAAATTGCCAGACGGCGAGGCGCATATAAAATCGCTGGAAGAGCAACGAGATCACCTGATGGTCGATTACGACGTATCATCGTTCACCACGATACGCATAGAGCTCGCGGCGAGCTCCGAACGCATCTCTAATTTACGCGCCGGTCTGGAGACCTGGCGGGATCATCTACAGAAGATACAGAAACTGCACGCGGACCACGTCGAACTATCCGGGATGATCAAAACGACTTTCGAGGATATCGGTCAGGAATTAAGCTCGGCCTTCCACGCGAAGCCGTCGAGTCTGTCCAAGACGAGGGAACAGTTGAACTCGCTTCAGGACCTGAGAACTCGTCTGCTCGTGGGTCGACGTAACCTGAAGTCCCTTGGGGGCATCAATGAGAAGTTGAGGGACGGCTTGTCCCCGAGGGACACCAAAACACTGATTCAACAAGAGACTATTCTGTCGCAAAAACTCGACGATCTCGAGTACCAGTTGGAAATGTTGGCGTACAGTCTCGAAGACCGCTGCAATCTTCGAGGTCGGTGGGAGCGCAAGCTGAACAAGTTCCTGCAGTGGATGGAGGACACCACGACCCGAATACGAAGCTACGACACCATGGCGTTGGACGAGCCCGAGGAGGCGTTGAAGCGGATCGATCGCGAGCTGCAGACGGAGATGAACCTGAAGCAGCGTGAACTCGAGTGGCTGCAGACCAGGGGTCAGGAATTGATAGAGCCCGCCGAGGAGCCGGAGAAGATGGAACTGCAGCAGTCTTTGAACGAGGTCAATGAGAAATGGGATCACTTGATGTCGGGCAGTAAGGCGAGAGCCAGCAAGTTGGCCGACTTAATAGATACGATGAACTCGTTGTTGAAGAGGATAGTCGACTTACAAACTTGGTTGACTGGCATCAAGAGCCAATTGTCGGGGACCTTTGTCGTCGAGAAGCTCACGCAGAATTGCATCGATCAGACGCTCGAGGATCACAGGCATCTCAAGACGGGCATCGAAGCCGAAGCCGCTAATATCGGCGAGGTGTTGAATCTGTGCGAGATCCTGCTGAACGACTGCGACACGTGGAAGGTCTCCTTCGACATGAACGCGATCAAGAACGGCATGAAGAAATTGGAGAATCAGTGGAAGACGGTGTGCGAGATGTCTGCCGAGCGCAAGAGGACAATCATAATAGTCTGGGAGATGCTGCAGGAGCTGGAGAAGACCAGATGCAAGTTCGAACCTTGGCTGGCCAAGACGGAGAAGTCCCTGTTGAACCTGGAGAAAGATCTCAAGAAGGCCTCAGAGGAGGAGTCGAAGATAGTGATCGAGGTCGATGCGGTGGCCGAGGACATCAAGGCGCACCGACAGATCTTGAAGAGTCTTGAGGAAAGGTACGGGTACTTAGCGAAATCCAGGTTAGAGCCCAACAACTTCCATTCGCTCACCAGCGAGGTGCAGAAGACCATCAACAGGTGGTTGGACGTCGAAGCAAAGATCAAAGCTCTCATGATGTGGTCCTGCAAATCGGAGCAATCGATCTACTGTCAGTTCTTGACCGCCCACGGAGCTGCTGTGGTGGGTCTAACACAGGTGGATGTCTCTCTCACGCAGTATCTAACTAAGTCCGGACGAAGGTCGTCAGTGGAGTTGAACAGTATCGAGGAGAACTTCAACGCCCAGACCGTCAACCTGCAGAGAGCTGACGAACTGGCGCTGCAAGTCATGAAGGAGAGCACCACCGAAGACGTGGCCACGATCCAAAAGCTGGTGGACGAGTATCAGCTACTATGGACGGACATCAAAGACCGACTAGTCGTCTTAAAAACGGAGTTGAGGAAGGACGAGAAACAAGTGGAGGAGAAGTCGGAGGTCGACGAGGCAGTGCAGGTGGAGACCCTGAAGTTCGAGCAGGACATGGCGGTTCAAGTGGACACCCTGCCAAGGCCCGTCAGAATGACCTCGCGCCCCAACGATCTGCAGGGCGTTTTAAACAAGTGCAACAGCGACTTGGACGCTCTGGAGAAAGCGGTAACGCCCACTCCCGTCGCCGGTCCTGGATTAATCGAGACGGAAAATACTATCGTAAGATTCATTAGCTAATCGCGCCAGCTCTATCCTATAAGCGCGTATAATATTCTTAGAATATTATAGGAATATTATTCAATATTAACATAATATTCTTATAATATTTTAAGAATGTTATGTAATATTTTTTAATATTATAGGAATGTTCTATTGATGTTATGTGTCCATTTCACATAATATTCTTGGCATATTATAAAAATGTTCTTAGAATATTTTAAAAAATAACTGAAAAAAAAAATATATATATGTATAATTTTTCTAGTAAAACGTATTACACAAAATTCTTTCGGCTTTATTTATATAATAAAACAATTGGTATTGTAACACGTTTGAAATAAAAAACTACAATTATATATATATATATATATATATAGAGTTGAATATTTAAAAAATATATAATATTATAATAACATTAAATAATATCACGCGCTTATAGTACTTAGAAAACTTATTGAGTACTGACATGTGTGTGTGTGTGATGTGTTGCAGTCCGAATTAATGGCAGAATGCCGTTCCTCGATGGGATGGATATATCACAAATATAGTGATGTACTCATGGAAGACAACACTTCGAACAGCGAGGTAATGGCACTATTAACTCGATACGAAACAATCATTACACTAGCAGCAACACGTCAACAGCAGATCACAGAGATCAGGTAAAGTTCCCTTCACGCTCACTTCATTTAATTTAGACGTACTTACCGTTTCGAGATTTTTAATCAGCAAATTTCGCAATAATGACGAATTTTCTAAATTATCCCTAAATTAAAATTTAACGCGTTTTTTAAATTTCATTCAATTTCTGATAGCACGGAGTCTATACGACTTCGTTGAAAGGAAAGATATTGAATTCTGAGATTTTGAATGTGAAAGATAATTTTAATCGCACTGCTTTATGTATAAAGGCTTATTTTTTATCTTAATATTAATTAATATTAATTAAGGTAAAAGTATCAATACCCGGACATACAATTAAACTTGTACATTCTCATTATTTCGGTTTTTAAATACGAATATTTAGACTTTCAACATAGAATATATGTATATATATTCATGATCGAAAATTTAAATCTTCGTAGTTAAAAACAATAAGAATGTCCAGGTTTATTCTCGAATATTAGTATTTTTACTTTACAGCAACAGTTTTTTTTTTTTTTAATTCAAGATGCACACTCAATCGCTTCTTGTATATATACCTTCAGTAATTTTCACGCCAACATCCGATGTAAATAATTTACACAATTGTCAATATTGATAACGCTTGTTTTCTATGTATTATTCGAGCCTTCCGCTGAATTTACACGCTGAATTTAAATTCGTAATAATTTTTAACGCAAACAATAACGCTTAGCTAAAGCCGATTAATATAATGCTTATCCCTTATCCTCTACAGACTGCTCATCCTCGATGCTTACGCTTTTCCATGCAAGCAGTGAGTAAACTAATCATATAACAATTCAATTCAAATTCATCGCTAACACAATTTCGCCATTACCAGAGTATTCGCTATTACCTTTTCAAGGATAGTTTTATCACGCTTGTTTTTTTTTAACAGAGAATTAATTAGTGAATTGACAAATCCTCGCAAAATTTCTCAAACACTTGTCACAATGCAAATGCTAATATTTATAACACATTTCTCGTATAAAAATACTCATGAAGTACATAACAAGCAATGTAAATAATTTTCACTAAACTAATTTTAAATTGCAATTTTAATTTTAACTCTGTAATCGAAACTATAACACTTGCACTTGTGAATCCTACAGCGATAAGAACAAAATCACCTGCCCACCCTGCTTCCGTCACAATTGGACCCAGGTGAACAATGACCTCTGGCGTTTGAACAAATGGTTGGAGTTTGCCGAGGGCACGCAAAGCGAGCAACGCTCGCCGCCGAGCGACATCGAGCAATTGGAAGACGTGATTCAGAATCATCGCAAATTCCTGCTCGATCGCGACAGCCACAAGAGAATCCTGCTGAATCTCAACATAGTCGGCGGCCATTTGGTTGATCACACGAAAGACGCGGAATGCGTGGAAGAGCTTCGCGATCGATTGGCCGTGGCCAACGCCAGATGGGAGAAAATCTGTACAGCTGCCACACAGTGGCAGGGCCAGCTGCGGGACGCCCTTATGACGAATCAACAGTTCTATCGTATCATGGAAGAATTATCTACCTGGCTCGAACATATCAAGATCAACGTACGAGCTAACGAACCGATTATGCAGAATGAATCCACCGATGTTATGGAAATGAAATATAATACGTTCAGGTAGAGATCTCGGTTCGTCCATCGTCAAAAGTCGTCGTCAGAATAGCGATCAATCCCTATAAGCGCGTAATATTATTTAATATTAAGTAATGTTCTGAACATATTCTTAGAATATTAGACGTAATATTCTAATAATATTCTAATAATATTATTTAATATTAAGTGATATTTCTGGAATATTAATAAGTGGTTATATGTCCACTCCTAATAATATTTAAAAAATAATAGTATTTAATATGTTATTGTAATATTATATATTTTTTAAATACTCAACTATATATATAATATATATATATTTTTTATTTATATAATTTTTCTATATAATTTTTTTTTATATTCTAAAAACATTTTTATAATATGTCAAGAATGTTATGCGAAGTGGACATATAATATCAATATCAAATCAGATCAATATCAAACATTCTTACGATATTAAAAAATATTACATAATATTCTTAGAATATCATAAGAATATTATTTTAATATTGAATAATATTCATATAATACTCTAGGAATATTACGAATATTATTATAGGGAAGTTACTTTTTCCTATACGGAGAAAAATAATTTTGCTATCGTAGCGAAACCATCGTTGCTACAGCATATTCAGCAATAAAATTTAATTGGCGTAACCAAATCAGCGAATTATTCGTAATTAGAGCAGAAACAATTTTTTTGCCAGGATAGAAGAATCTTGAGTTAATTCCTCCTTAGAACACGTTAGTTTATTGTAAGAACAAAATAGCGTTTTCCTACACTTATTAATTCATTCTTACAGCAAAATAATTTGTAGATTCGGTAAAAATTATACAGCGAATGGCAATTAGTGCTTTTAACGAATCCTTTTTCTGTCCGCATAGTAATTGACAAACTGACGTCGAAACAATAAAATCAAATGTGCTATGCCAGCAAATTATTTTCCCCTAACAACGTTGCAATAACAAAATCGCTTCTAACATTTTCAGGGAAATGGAAAGCGATCTGGATCGTTGCGAGCAGCGAGTGATATCTCTGCAAGCGTCGGCTAAACTGATCTTGGAGGAACAATCGGACGCCAACGCGCGTCTGCAGAAGCTGCGGGAACAGATGCATTCATTGAGAAAGCGCGTCGCGATCAACGCTATCAAGTTAGGAAGAGCTCTCGAGATCGAAGTGCGGGAACTCATGCCCCTCGCTGGCGCAATGACTCTCGGAACTCTGGCGGACGAAGTAAGCTCGATCCTCTCATGCGATAAGTTTTTCCTTTAACTGAAGATGTCACTGTATAATTTCCTTGATCTACGACTATTATATCGCCGAGCTCGCGCATAAAGGTGGATCTCACGAATCGTCAGATATAATCGACGATATTGCTACAATTGTAATTTAACGACAAACTCACTATTGTGGTGTTTCTTAATTAGAAGGGAGGAGGAAAATTTCTCAATTACGTATACCTGTGTGGTACACACTGATATATCTATAATTTATAGCCTCAACAATAGTCACCTGTCTCTGTCACGCTCGGTGAACCGTTGCTTTTGTTTCGGAATGGACGTATAGCGTATCGTAGATTGTTGCACAACTTAGTTAACTTGACACGAATTGATGCGATCTCAGTGCGAGCAGCGTCGTCCGACGATGAGGACCTCGGANCCCCCCCCCCCGCTCCTCTCTCTCTCTCTCTCTCTCTCTCTCTCTCTCTCTCCCCCTCCCATCGTAGCGACGCTCCCGCGCGCGTAAATTATCCGTAGCAACCACTTGCACAGTACCTTATTGTTTGTGTTTTCTGTTTTTTGTTGAACTGTAGCTGCTCGGCGAAGCTGCCATTCGGACTGCTCAGCCTCACGTCACCGGCACAAAGTATGTTGTTACCTCTTTCCCTCTTTCGTCGCGACGATTCGTCGTCGATCGACGTCGTCGGCCGGTGGAGCTTCTCTCGTCGGAACGTTGACGATCTTGTCACGTCAAAAAGGCTGCGTTCGAAAATACCACTCTGAAAGTAGAGCAGGGTAGAACAGAGTGAATAGGGGGGAGAGGGGAGAGACAGGTTTCACCCCGAGTGCGGATGGTTTCCGGAAACGCGTGAAATACTGTCCCAAAGATCTCTGGGGATCGTACATCGGCTGTTATCTTCCACAGTACAGAATTTCTTTCTCCTTTGGTAAATTTATACGCTCCATCGTCACGGTTTAAAATGTTTCGAAATCAACAAGTCACTCGCATCCACTCGAAAAGTTCGGGGTGAAAAATTTTTCCTTCTGAGGTGCAGTCGATAATAATTTCCGAGCGGCACTACCGTTGCCACACTATTTTCACCACGAATATTTCCGAATGGCGCGAGCCTTGATTAGTGCACCTGGGTGTAGTTTTCGAACGCAGCCTGATGTTACGAAAAAAAGCACGTCTCCCGAGGCGTTCCGATAACACTGGACAGTCATAAAAATTGTATCCTGGATCTAAATCGTTGACACTAGTTAATTTTGTGGCGTTGATCATAAATATGATAATTAAAACGAAATTTGTTTCATAGAAACAACATATACAAAATAGTATTTGTTTGGATAAAAATTGTATTGCCTCACTCAAGGAAACTCTATTATTTGACAGAAAGAACGCTATTATTTGAAATAATATCTTTTAACCAAATAAGATATTATTTGGTTATAATAAATATATAATAATATGCAATAAATATGTAAAATGAAACAAATAATTCCTTTATGAGAAAATTAACTTTCGTTTCGAACAAATTTTTTAATTTTAAGATAAAGATAAATAAAGTCACATATTCGTTGAAAAGTCTAACAATCGTATTTATTAATCGAAACATTATTTTCTTTGGAGCATGTCAATGGTGAAATTTGTTTGGATGCAATAAAATTAATTAAATTTGAAAAATCATCTTTTTCTCAGTGTAGCCTATATTTCTTGAATTATAGCTAAATAATTTCTCTCGTCGCCATTTTCTGTTTTAACGCATACACATGAATAAAGAGGAAAATTCAAATTTAAAAGGGACACAATTTACACGAAATTTGCTGACCGGTGTATGCGGAGCTCCACCTTTCGTAAAGCTAAGATCAATAACCACGGGTCTTCAACGAGACATCCTCCGTTTTAATTTGCCGTCGTTGCGAACCTGTTTCAGTGGTGACGAAAGCGAGGAACAGCGATCGGTGTTGGCGCGTGGATACCGTTTCATCGGGAGAGTCCTGCGGTTCTCCCTACCGATCCAAGCGCTGATGCTGGTCCTGCTCGGCGCTACGTCGCTGGTGCCATACGCAGAAGAAGATTACAGCTGTATGATGTCTAACAACTTGGCGAGAACCTTCATACCGTTACCCTTTTACCCGAATGGACCTCCACCGATATAACAGTGAACAGCCGACGTCCTCATTTGTTCGTCGTGCCATTCAACCGAGATCGAGCCTCGTTGAAACGTCGGCGGGCGAGCCCACATCGATGTAACATACGAAACGACAGAAAGATCGCGATCAATCCATTCACCCCCACTTTCTTCCCCTTTCGGTCTCCGCACACTGAGAAAAAGATTTGAAATCAAAGATTTTAAAGTTCGCTTGTAAAATACAAGCTTTATTTCGCAGAAATAAAGGTTTGTTTGAAAATGCGGCGAGGTAAAATTTTATTCCTGGCAAATAAATCAATAAATAAGGAAACTTACGTATATTTCACAAAAATACATGTTCCGTCATCGAGAGTCAAATTTTTTTTCTAACCGATAAGTGCCGAATAAATGTCACAAGAAACGTTTATTTTGCAAAATTTCAATTTTTTTTTCTCAGTGCAGAGACCGCTTTCTGCGGGACATATGCGCGCGCGCGCGTGCGTGTATGTGTATACTTGCGTAAGATTCATACTGCCTCCCCCCTAAGGCTCGCCCCGTCGGTGTTTCACACCAGAAACACCTTTATATATTATACGGTAGTTTTACACACGAGGAATTTCTACGTACGTAAATCGTGTAACGGACCAAACGGTGACTGAGAATACGTAGTCGAGACGAGAAAGCATTCTTAATTTATTGTATACATGTATCGCCCCCCCCCCCATATTCGCCATTACGGCGTGTGCAATATTGTGTTCCCTCCGTGTGCGATGGATGCACGTTTCGAGCGGTCTCAGCTATCGCGGTGAGAATTGTATTTTCGACGAAGTGTTCGCGTCGTCGGAGCGACCGGGACACCGGATTGACGATCAAGACGCGTCGCACGAACGCGAACGACCGACAGAGACGATTTTTCATACACATACCTTATACATATATAGCAAACGACGTTCCACGATGTTAAAAAGCAAAGCGACGACTTTCGGACGCGCGATCTCGCAGCCTCGCGATTCATCGCTTTCTGTTGTACAGTTTACTTTTCGCTTTTCGGGGTGCAAAGCCCGATGTTGCGTGCGCGAGCGAGCGAGCGAGCGAGCGATATGCATGAAATATGAGAAAAAAATTGCAAGGAGGTAAAGACAGGAAGGAAATGATGCGAGAAACCCTCAAAAACGGCCGCAATGTATGATGGAACACACGTGTGTATGCGTTGAACCTCGTATTTAACGCGTGCCCCACACCGTACGCAACACATTCGTGATAGAAGATTGAACATAAGAAATATATATACTTGCCTAACTTTATTTTTTATACATTATGTTTATATATATATATATATATGTATATGTATATGTATATGTGTACATGTATGTATATCAAAGCGTGGCGTTGAGAATCAGTTCTCGCGAGCGAAACGTCCGGCGTTGCGCCTCACGTTCCCTCTCTCGACTTGATGTGACCGGCGGGCGATTAATGGTGCTAATCCGGAGCGCAACGTCTTCTACGGGGGAGGGAAAGGAACGACCTTGTGTGGTGGAAACATCGATCTTTTGCAGAAACGTTTTGCCAGTTGCATTAATTAATATTCCATGAATAAAGTTAAGGAGAAGTTGTGCACGACGACTGTGTGCGATCTGTTCGTGTAAGTATAAAAGATAAAAGAAAAAAGAAAAAAAAAGAGGAAAAAATAATCACGGGGATAATAATGATAATAACTAACGAGACAACGCACAGAGGAATGAGCGCGCGTATTATTATATAATTCATCCTGTGGAGATTAATCGATCTTGTAACGCTCACTAGTTACGCTTTCGAGGTTGAGTTCCCTGCTTACCGCACATTGTGCTTCGTTATGTATTTTTATAAAGAGAGAGCTTAAGGAAGGTGGTGTATATCTATCAGTATAATATATTATTATGAACGTATCTCTGTTACTATCTCACTCATTCACTCGCTCACTCACTCACTCACTCACTCACTCACTCACTCACTCACCCAGTCTCTCTCTCTCTCTCTCTCTTTGTCAGTCTCTCTCATGTGGTTATTAGTCACGTCCACGTGACTCGTTTCCCCGTAGACGATAATATCACGAGAATCGGCTGACTCCGCCGATTGTGGCAAACGGGTATTGTGCAAAGAATTGTTTATTTCGTTATAATACACTTAGGTCAATTATCACACCGCGAACATTATAAAAACTATACAGTCTTGCCTTCATCATACATTCAAAAAATATACACGATGCCGTATGGAAAAAAGATTAAGTTTTTTTTTTTGTTCGGAACGATGTCATTCGCGTCGCGAGACGAATCAGTTGATCTGGTTCTTCAGGGTCGTTAGTTGTTCCGAGTATTCGAGATATAATCGTTGCCAACGAAGATGGCCGCCGACCACGGCCAATACGTCGCTCAAGAGTTTGTGCTTCTTTATACCCTGCAAGAGTGAAACGATACCGAAAGATTGTCCCTGCGACTGACACTCGGCCCGGAGATTACTGAATTATATCAGCGATATTTACCAAAACAATAGGATCCCACACACTCTTCGAGGCTGACGTGTGACTCGGGCCCAAAAGCTCGTCCAGAATTAACCTCAGTCGCCTCTCCAAACCATCTGAAGTAAAAAAAAAGGAACATAGCGATAATTTCCAGTCGATTTAAATAGAATGCACCGAAAGAACGCAACGCGGGTGTGGCGCACCTTGGGTTAACAGGAACGACACTAAGGCCATCAGCCAATGAACGTATTCCTGAGCGCTGCCGAGAGCTTTGGAAGCTAACAACTGTTGCTCCAGGTAGGACACCACGCTCGGTGCGCTGTGCGGCAAGCGTGGATTTGGCAAAGTGTTGCCGGCAGTTTTGAGCAGACCTTCCTGCAAGGACGACAAGGGTCCTCTGGGCGCTCTATTTCCCGATGTACTCAACACGTTGAACGACGACCAGCGCCACACGGGGTCTTGGCTGTCTCCGATTAATAACCATGTCCCTGTGCGATATTTAGCGTTATCATTACGGTCGTATAATGATGAAGAAAAAAAAAAGAGGGGGAGGGGGAGGGGGGCAAGCGACCAGTTCATCATACCCATGTCTTTGTGGTACATATATGCTCGCGCGTTAGTAAATGCCAGATGGGGCATCCCGTTATAGAGCGTGCACGACAGCAGGGACGTCCCGGGCGCCGCTAAATGAGCGGCGGAAGTCGAGACGATCATTCTACAGGTATTCCCGATCTCCCACACACGGACCGCCCCGCAGCTTGATATCACCATCACCTGTGGCAAATATTTCCGGCCGTGTGAATCGAGTTCTCTGAATTATTGCGAGCGGCGTTTGCGCGGTCTAAACGAACGCGCGCGAACTTTCTCTGATAAATCACCTTACGAAGCAAATCGTTCCCGAAACGTTTCTGTTTTCGGCCTCATTACGGCTACACTCGTCAAATTGTGACAACCAAAGTTTGTATTCGCTCGTTCGTTCCTTATTCGTTCAATGTTAACGAGCTTAACGAGCGCCCAAGTCCGGGCGAGACTTGGCAATATGAATTCGACTGACGTTTGGAAACGATTGACTTCGGAATCGAATTACCGCGTTTCCGACAGCGTGAACCTTCGCCAAGGGAGCCGGGGGTGCCAAGGGCGGTGCCGGGCGACATCCCTTGGCGGGATGAAACGTGTGGAGGCTGCCGTCCTCCAAGCCCAGGGCTATCACAGCCGGTGACGCGGCCAATGCCACGGCGCTGTATCCCAAGTAGAGATCCCACGTCGGCTCCGAGTCCGTGCCTCGGAACACTTGCAAATGAGCTAAGCCTTGGCTATTGGTGACTGTCACGGCGTAATGGCCCGCCTGCTGGGACAACGAGCTGGACGGTTTGAGCGGTGGCAGTAACATTTGACCGGCGCTCTTGTCGAACATGAACCTGGGTTTCTTAGCCAGCGAAGAGTGATGCGTCCTCGGTGTCGTTTGCTCCCTGCGTTTCAGCGTGAGGGACGAGCCCGAGGCGTCGACGGTGGCCGGCTTCGCGGACGACGAGGTGACGTTCGGTGCGACGACGTCGTTGCGCTTCTCTATCACGATCGAGCTCTTCGTCTGCACCTTGTTCGTGAACGTCGGCGTACCTAAGCTGCCGCCAATCGTCGTGTCCCTGAGAGGGGTGATCGACGCGATAAATATTCGCAACGGTAGTCTCTCTCGGGTGGTTCTAATTCACGAGAAGAGATGAACTTACGCCGTGTCCGCCGGCGGCGGGATGAACATTGGGGTAATTCTTCTCTTACCGTCCGAAGTTCTCGTCTCGATCTGCTTATTGATAGGGCCCTTAACCGGCGTGACTGTAGCGGTGCTGGCGGGCGGAGGAACGCTCGGAGTGGCCGGCATCTGGGGAGACTGGTTCGACGGTGCTGGTGGTTTCAAGTTGAGGAGCTCCGGCGCCTCCATCACCATGCAACCTCCTTGAACCAACGGCTTGCCGTACAATCGTTCATGGACGCTGCTCTGTGAACACGAGGCAGAGGAAGATTCATCGACTTTATCGAGTTTATCGACAACACCAGTGGCCGCGTGCGGCACGTGTGATTACTTGCTCAGCGGGGTCCAGTGGTTGCCCCAATTCCTGTTGAGTGAACTCGATGAACACGGCGGTGCCGTCCCACGAGCACGCCGCGAGCCGCAAGCCGCAGGGTGACCAACTGGCGTCCAACACGGAATGAGTGAACAATTCGTGTATCACGACCAGGGGTCTCTTCAACGACGTCAGCCACACGGACAAGGAGCGATCACGCGATCCTATCGCGACGCAGCAGTACTGCTGCTTCGGCTTCGAGGCACCCGGCTTCTTCTGCAGGATATTGCCGTTGAATCTCTACGAGAGGAAGGTCACGGCTGAGTTCACAGATGCACAGAACGGTTCCTTCAGATATGATAATAGTCGGCAGGAGGTGTGCCGAAAGATGACAGTTCCGACACACACGACACAAGTTACCGCCTTCCTGTGACCAACGAAATCCTTATCCTGCGTCCAACCGTCCCTCTCTATTATTTGCGCCGTAGGGCCTCCCCCGTTCATAGCGTGGGCAGACACCAGATACTGCCCGTCCGGGCTCCAGGAGAGTCTGAGGACATGAGTCGTCCCGCCGCACTCGTCGAACGGCTCGGATATCAACGCCGCCTCCGTCCAATCCGTAGTGCGCCATACTCTCAGCGTCTTGTCGTCGGATTGAGACGCCAAGTACTTCCCCACCGGGTCCCAGGTGATCCCCTTCACGAAACCCGTGTGGCCCTTCAGCACAACGACCACAGCAGGGAACTTGGACGCGTCCCACACAATCACACTGTTGTCCACGGAAGCCGAAGCCAACCACGGGCTGTGCGGCGCCCATGCCAGATCCAATACGTCAGCTTCGTGCGAACGCAACGTTGCGATGCACCTCCATGTCTCCACGCTGGCTTTCCCGCCGAAAATCGAACTCCCGCCGGATCCACCGGACAATCTCCAAATCATAATTAGCTTATCCACCCCGCCCGATGCCAATAGTCCACTATTGCTCCATCTCACGCAGTTCACACATGCTATACAAGACGAAAAATATCGTATATATAGATTTCTGATATACACGCGAAAATAGGATAGGTCTCTCTCACCGAGATGATTGTCTAACTGGCAAAGCATCTTTGGCACATTGCTATCTAATTCGGCAGTTTCATCGACCACGGGTTCCATGTTCCATATAACAACTCTCCCGGAATCACCACCTAGTAACAAAGGAAGAATACAACGATGAATACGAAAACAGAATCTGATTTGCATATTAGTCATGAGTATATTTATTATTCTCAATATAGGAAATCTTTACGCAGCTGTGACACGATGCAAAAACTGATGTACCTTGGCCACCGGTGGCAAATCTTTTCCCATCAGGATGTATGTCAATGGAGAATATTGGGTACCCTGGTGGATACAAATTAATGTATTGAGTGTTTCCTAAGACTTTATAACAATTGGTAATATTATGTGGAAGTATAGAAACGGTACAAACCATCGTGAGTAACCCAATTTGGTTTCACTAGCTTCATCTTTTTTTGCAGTTTAGGGCTTTATAATTGTCAGAATTCAATAAACGATTCTTAAATTTCATCGCATCCTCCGCACATAATGCCCGTGATGGATATAGACCGGCACAATTTAAAGATTCACACGAGACATAACCCTACACAATGGTGCTTTCTTTTTTCTTCTTCTTTCCTAAATGTCTGCTCCCTTTGGGCCACGATATCACACTTTCTTCTTGTTACTTCCCTTTTTCTAATTCCCTGGCTCAGAACTGGCCGGAATCTCCCAAAACAGCCGACGGTATCTTCAAATTGACAAGTTTAAACTAACCTTACTCTATCGTACACAAAGGTACGTTGCTGGCAGTGCCGAATGGGAAGCAAAAAGCTGTGGACACAATTTTTTTCCGATGAGTTTTGTAACGCATCAGGTATACAATAGAGAATTTGCTTTTAATATTTCTCAGAATATTAATTGCACGGAATAAGAATCTCTTCAGCTCAACTAGATACATCAACAAACTAAGTACATTTCAATAAGTGAATAAATATATAAATAAACATTAAAGAATTATTTCCTTCACTGACAAGAGATAAACAAAATTCAACTAAGAATATAATTTTTGCAAAAATAACGACAATAAAATGATTTCAGAAACATTTCACAGTTTGAAATCTCTAATTTTCAAATATACTTTCGATTATAAGGTGTACTTTTACGATGTTACATAAGTATAAATCAATGTTCAAACAAAAACTAATTTTTTGGTTTTAATCACTCATAGAGAACGAACGAATCGACGTACGACACTTGTTTACACAAGATTAAAAAGCTTTAAGTTCTCTCTTTAAAACATAATTATCGCGCTTCTTCGAGAAATTGGTTTTCAACGTAAAAACTCCACTGAAAGATTAGATTGAAAATTGAACAAGTGCCATTTTTTTTCTTTAAGTGGATATATTTTAACATGAAATAACAGTAACATTATAATTTTAATACGTCTAAAAACTAAAAAGTCTAAAAAATATATATTTAATATGTCTATAATTTTAATATGTCTAGAAACTTTAAGTTTTAAAATATTTTTTGAACTATTTTATTACTGTTATTTATATCGAAGTTACAGATCGTTTAATTTCGTTTATTTCATGTAGCGTAAAATGTGCGGGTTTTTTGATTTGTTCTTTTTAGCTGCACCGCTGAACTGATGCACTTAAACACAACAGCAATTGTTAAGGTCGTACTACGGCTGGTATTTATAAGCTTGAGTGTATTTCACGTCGCAAACGCTTTGGAATACTTAAGTTCCTGATTTACAATAGGTGCTTTAACCTCTAAACCTTAAGAAATTGACCAATCACAGTCGAATTTGAGAAGAATAGTCGACTGTGATTAGTTAATTTCTTAAAGCTCAGAACTTACATTCTCATTGTAGACCCCGCTTAAGTTAGAGTGAGGCAACTATATTTTGTCTCACTCTAACTTATAGCACCAGTTCAGCAGTGTTGCTATAAAGAACAGATCATTTATTTCAGGAGTGGGGTCAAGATGTACATAGAAAAGGATGCACTCCATTTATGTTCCTGAGTTCTCTCTCGCTCGCGTAGTCTATGGCCGGTATTCATTCATTCATTCAGTTGAATCCCGTATTTAAAAAGACGGTCTTAAATAGGAGATCCAAATTGATGAACTTCAGATGTTTCGTAGCCAATGAAATGAGCCATACAGTATCTGAAGATGAACTTAAGATAGTCTTATATATAAGATTCGACTATGAATATTGGCCTATGTAATTTTTTCTTTTAACTAATGCATCCAGTTCAATTGAAAGGAACAGGGGGGTTAATTGTGTATCTTAAAACGTAATAAAAGTTACATGAGCAAACTCACCGGATGTTGACAAATGAAATTACAAATATTCTAGTAAATTTTCACTCACTTTTATAATTCTCATTATGTTTTGAGATACACAATCGACTCCCAGAGCATGGGTTTGTTTTCTGTTCCTGCATTAGCTGCACTAGTTCTCCTTTCCTTCCTTTCCCACTAAATCTCAGAAAAGTGATGAAAAGAGAACTAATGCAAATTAGTCTCTGGTGGCACATGTTTGTTTCATGATGCGTTTTATAAACGTACGGAACGTTTCATCATCGTTTATGAAACATAATGAAAACATTTCTTAAACGACACGTGCCACTTGGGGTATGGCCAGTGCAGGAATAGAAAACAGGTGCTATAAAAATACTAACGTACGATTTTGATTCGTTATGAGGTACAATAGCGACTTGTAGTGGAAACTTTGGAACTAAATGCCAACGGCATACCTAAGATTCGAACTTTCTTTACAAACATTCATCGATCGCTTAACTCTTTAAGCAACACATTTTATTTCTCGATAGAATTAAAGAATAAAATGTAGTATCCAAATATTGTTGGGGTCGCTAATTATGAATCTGAAATCAGAGTTTTAAAAATTCAAAACAGCCGACCCAATATGGCGGACCGATTATTCAAAAATTCCGATTTTTTGATGAAATCTTTTTGTATTTGGAATATAAGTTTATCTTATATGTTAACAGCAAAAAAAGTCGACATTCAAATGGCGGATTACTGGGTAAGAATAGCGATCTTAAATTTTCAAAATTAATGATCTCGTTTTTAACATTACCCAAAAATAATGAGGACGTAACGAGTAACTATTTTAATCTTTTTTAAATATATTTATATTTATTATTATTTTTTTTTATTTCTTTTTATTTTTTATTTAAGTAAGTTAGCACCTCGCTTTATTTTAACTAGTTTTTAACAAATTTGTTAGGATAGAGGAAGAAGATCAATTTACAAAAAAAAAATTAAAATAAAGATATTACCAGTATTACAATAATTTATTGTAAAAAATTAAGCCTACGAAAAATTATGTAAACAATTGGTAAAATACTGTTAAGTATCCTCAATAAACTGATAATATTTTGATATGTCGATTCTTAATAGTTTGTTTATAAATGAATTTTTTTTATAAAAATGTCTGTTTTTAATTTTCATTTGTTTCTAGCAAGTTAACAATTAACACTTTGCGGTCCGCGGTCCACCTGAAGACGCTTGGCTAATGTGTTCGAAATTCTCAAAGGCATAATACGCAAGTAGCCGCGCTTATTTGGTTGATTCTCTTCTTATACAAATGTTGATATCTAAAAAACTATTGAACCTAGCGTATTCAAACAACTTTTATCGTGAAGTTCATTCTTTTCTCTATTATTAAACACCATAAAAGTTAACTTTTCTGTGAGAGTTTTACTTTCTGAGACCATCAATATTATGGTCTATTTTGAGCTGGAAAAAAGTCAAACATGATATAATCGATTTTTTAAGTGCATAAATTATATCAAGAGGATTAATAAAAAAAATAGAAAACATACTTCTCTTCTCGTTTACAAGTGCTTGCAAACATTGTTTTTTCCTCCACGGATATAAATTAATATTCTCATCGTCTGATGATTCTGACGAAATTCGTCTCAAGACACGTCGACGAAATATCGGTGATACATCATCTATGACCATATAATATGAAACAAAATAATATAAAATACGGCATAATACAAAACCAAACAGTAGTTAAATAAATAAATACAATTAGAGAACACGTGTACGATTAATAAATAATAAACCATTGACTGATTGTAAGAGTCGTATTTATCTTCTACATCTTGAATTTCTTTATTTGAACAAAAATCTGTGTTAGATAACATTTTTTGCTTTTCCTTAGCTCACAGTAGCATTTACACTGGTAAGATCTGTCGATCAACTTGAATCGAAAGATTAGCTCTGAAAGAACCATCCTAACACTTGGAGCAATCGTCACTTGTTTTGGCATAGCTACGAATCGCTATTCATCTGTTTTGCATGTTGCCAGTTGCTTAAAACCGCATTTGTTTCGATTTATTGATAAAACCAATATTGTCAGATCGCGATGGCACAGTGCCGTCGACGGACTGCAAAGTGTTAAACATTTTAACTATATGATATTTATTTCTACTCCCTTATGTTTTTGAGAATATATAGTAATAATATAGTCGACTATGATTGCCTAGAAGTTAGTTGAAATCATTAAAAATGAAGAAAATGTTGATGGGACAACATATGTCCTATTGTAATGCAAAGGGTTAACCGAGATTTAAACCTTTCTGATGAGCTGCTGGGTCCAATTTTATAATTAATATCTCAAAAATCAATATAAATTCAGCAAAACATTCCAATATAGGTCAAATAGTTTTCAATGTAGTGTCATCGTATTTATTTGCGTGGCGACCCGTAAGTGCATAATTGCTTTTGGAAATCCATCAATCTATTAATCACCGTCTCACCGGAACTCATTGTCCAATTAAATATAGCAAAATTAGATTAAAAAATATTTGACGCATGTTCGGACGTTTCGCTGAAATCGCTATAGTTTTTAAGATATTAATTATTAAAAATCCGGAATGTCTTATGGCCTGCCTGGTGCTATCTAGCAATGTTGAGTTAATAAATCTCGTTTGCCAGGTAAATTTGAATTTCGCCTAAGTAACCGATAAATGTGATATATGATCTCAGTCTATGTTTCACTTTGGAACTCTACATCGGAGTTAACTTTATATTCGAGAATATATTGGAAAAGGACACTTAAAGCTACAAAATACTTCTTGAATCAATTCTTCTTCAATTTCAAGTTATTATTTTGGCGGACATACAAGCGCATTGAATTTTGTTTATGTCTCGCGGTTGAGAAGAATGATCCCCTTTAATTAAAAAAGAAAAACATTCTAATTTTGAAGTAGTATATCGCCTATCTCGTCACACTTATAACCGTTGAGAGAGAGAGAGAGAGAGAGAAGGAGAGAGAGAATGCTTACTCTCATTATAATAATAAAAAAATTGGTTTGAAAAAATAGCAACAAATTTCAAAGTTGAGATGAAATTTGTGATTATCATGAGTCATTCGGTTTATTAACCGGATTATTTAATAATATTAGAAACTTACACCTAACACTTTAAAGCAAGCATCAGCACAAATATATCAATTTTTACAAACTAATAGTTGATATTTCGAATATTAAGGCATATTATATGATATATTTTTGTAACTTATTTACATAAAAAATGTAGAAAAGAAAATTCTAAATCTTATATACACAATATAGAGAATCCTTCAGTAACGTTCAACGAATAATTAAGGTTAAAACGTTTTCCGCTGCATAGATAAATAATTTAGTGAAGAAAAATTATACGGCAATCAACGTGTACACATAGGAAAAAGCAGTTTTAAATAATGCAAGCGCTATTTATATATGGTTTCTGGTTCACATGACGAACTCAACAGATTTCATTAAATATTTTGTTATTTCACAGGCTTTCATTTAAATTTGTATATATGTAACTCTATAAGAAATAAATATATTTCATACTCGAAAATATATTTTAACAAAATTTCTTTCGAGACTTCTCGAGCTATAAAATATATCCTGAACCATTTCAT